TTTAGCTACAGCATGAAAGGAATAAAATTAAAAGTAGATGTCCCGCAGTGAAAAGGACATGCCAACCTCCTTTATCAGTCTAGACTGGGTATTGTGTTACTCCTCCCATGCACTCCTCCCTTATCTACTCCTTGTCTCATTCCTGTGAGGCCACAGAATGTCAGCTGGCTCCTGGAGTGGACCCAGCTCATTTCACTAGCTGTCACTGACCAGCAGTTGCCAGGCTATGCTGAAAAGCTGTCAGCCTTCTCAGCACCTCTGAGATGATAATCCTGAGGTAGCTTTCTGAATGACCTCTTAATAAGCTCACCAACATTAAGCATGTACATAGGTATGATATTAGGCTGATACATAGGGTAGAATTGACCTCTGTTACAGCCAAGTGTTAATGATGTTTTCTTAACTGACTGTATTCAGGCCTTTATGGATCTTACTTGCTAAATATTTGATGCAGCTCTGACTTTTAAGTGATGCATAGTTTAGTTGGTTTTGGCACAGTGGTCCCTCAATAGCTCGCTCTTCACAACTGACTTGTTTGCTGCACAACAGCAGACTCAGCTGGCTGCACACTGTTTTGTTGAGTGTAAAAGTCTCTCACTGTCTTATTCCAGTTATATATGCTAAGGTGTGGGGTTCCATACTTCTCATTTTATTAAGAGCAATCTCAACTTCAGCCAGCTCACAACAGTTTTGAATCCTTCCTCAGGGTTGATCTCTGAATTTAATTAGTGAGCTCTGCACTTAGACTTTAAATTCTGAATTAAAGACCAGAAAAAATACTTCAAAGAAAAGGTAAGAGCATATGATGACTGCTCTGTCTTCCCTTTTAGAGTAAAACTGTGTTCTGTAAGTCCAGGCAGCTGGACATACTTGTATATTCCAGTAAATCTTACCATGAGTTGCAGCCTCAAGCAATGAACAGCCACACAATTCCATGGTATCCTCAATTCCTGCCCTCATGTCTCCGGACGAGGAAATTGCTCAGATTTGCTTCAGACCTCAGAGGGCAAACTTGGGCAGCAGGAATTTAATGTTTAGGAAATACAGTGAAATGAGAGGGCAGGAGAAAAGAAAAGTTTGAGAAAGAACCTTATGTATTCTTAATACATGTAATTTATGTTTTAAGAAAACAGACATACTTTTTTTTTTCTAATTAGCCAGATCCTAGGAAATGTCCAGTTTACATTCTGAGGTAAAACTTGCCTCCTGGCCAGCACAGCCTTCTCTGGGCTTTTCTGTTACTGCTGCCATTGGCTAAACCCCAGGGTTACTTGTGTGCAGCAGCCCTTGCCCAGTTTCACTCCTGTATACTCTGTTCACTGCCACCTTTGTGAAGGAATGCATTCTGCTTGTTGCAGCATAAATCTGCTTTAGGTTTACATCTTGGAGTCACCACTTTGCTAATACTCATCTCTGATAAAACTGCAGCCTTAGGAAGCCTGTCTCCCCTTTGTGCTGAACCTATTACCTGACTGAAGTCAAATGCACTTCTGTGGTTTGGCTTCCTAGGCTTTGAAAAACCTTAAAGCCAGTTTCCTCACTGTAAACAAAAAACCCCAAACCAATCATAAGGCCATAATTCCTGTTTACAGAGAGATGCCTTTATTGTATGCTCTTGGAAGCAAATGGGACATGGTTACGGTTTTATATACAGAGAAATCTGTAGCATTGGGTTACAATCAGTGGCAAATGAACCAAGATTACAGTGCAGATCTAAGTGTTGTGTACAGTTAATAACAGTGGCTGGCACACAAACCACAACACAGAAGCCAAATGAAGCCGAGTGTACAGGGTACAGCATCACGTGAGGAAGCAACTTCATGTACAAAGAGCGTTCCATTTTCTTTACATTTGCAGGCTTTCTTGGCTAGTGAGTAGATACAGCTCCATTTAAAACTCAGTGTGCAGTTATTTTTCTTTCCACTCAGCTGCTACCGAATTAAGACAATTTGAATGTTCCAATTACATTTTTAATGCTATAAATAACTACAGTTGTTGCCAAATTATTTGAAGTTGCTTTATTTATAGTCAGGAATAGTTTAAACGTTGTTCTCTACACATTAAAAACTGGGAGAAATCTTAAAATATTTTGAAAGTAGTCTGAAATTAGACCACAGGGATCTGTGGTACTTCATTTGGAAGTTTAATTCTAGGTAACTTCTTCTGAGAGATTTATGGGGAAGAAAGATGGAATTGTCCACCATATTACTCATTTGTAGAATTTGTTCATAGTATTTAAGGTTTAGATAGTTCAAAGGTCATACTTCTTTTTATTCAATGCCATGTCCAATCTTAGTGTAAAAATAAACACTGTGTCCTCTGTGGATAAAGATATCCATCTGTTGGTTACAGGCCAGACCCCTATTGGTGAGAGAGATTTAGAAAAATAGACCTTTTCTTTTAATGTTTTACTGTGCTGACCCACAAAGGAAAAGTGAAATTCATTCAAGTCTAGAAACAGAAATACAGTACAAGTGATTTATAGAATTGCATTCCTTCCATCCACAAACTTGCTGAGCATGAAACACTGCCCCTGTCTTTTCCTTGTTTTGAGAATTAATTGTCATCAGAAAAGTCACATTATACTGCACTGCCACATTGCCTGTCTGCCTCCTAGTGTGCAGACTCAGCAGGGCTCTGCCTCCCGAGGATTCTTTGCTTGAGAATTCTTTAGATGGATGGGTGATGGTGGTTTGGGTTACACAGGGGGATGTTTTAGCTCAGATTAACAGGAACAGTTTTAATTAATTTGACTGATGGTGATTTTTGGTGGGTGGAAGCTCAACCATTTAAAAAAGAAAAATCTCATGAGTTGGACCTGAAAAATACCAGCCTTTCCTCAAAATCTCCACTTCCGAGACTGCTTCCCATAGATTTCCTTCTCATTTAAGGGGCTGGTACATTTGGCAGTACAGGTTTCATGCTCAACTTTGTCACTGAGAACTGGACAGGACTTTAAAGCATACAGCCCATTGAGACTTCACTGGAGTGTTTCAGTGCTTTTGACAGTCCCCCCCCCAGCAGTGTTGCTCTCTTGGAAGTGCAGGTGGCCCAGACTGGCTCTGGGAGACCTGGAGGACAGGTGACATACAGAAGTGGAAGTAGTAGTTAAGCACCAGTTGCTGGCCCCTGCAGAGGCTTGAGAGAACAGAATTACTTTGTGGAGAGCTTGTCGACCTAAAAAGCTTAGTCAGTTCGATCAATAAATATTGACTTAGGGTTAGGATCAGAAATAAGACACTGCACTTTGGAACTGGAAGACAGAGTCAACTTTCTCCCTTTTCTGTCCAAAAGGAGACTAACTTTAAAAGGTGTCCTTAAGGACCTTTGTGGTGTCTGATGTATAACTCACTAAGCACATATGAGTGTACTTGTCCCTTTTTCAGGGAAGAATAAATGTATGAGTGGACGAAGCTTCGAGGCTTTTTTCTGTGGTGGTTCGTTTTTGTTTTTTTTTTTTTTTTTTTTTTGTAGCATCTGTTATGTGTTGTGTTGTCCCTGAAGGCAAATTTACCCACTCTTGAATTATGCAGCATTGCCCAGAGAATGGCTCTGTAGTTGAATATGCTCTCTGCAGTACAGCTTCTGCTTTCTGTATTTTCATGTAACAGATGTTACTAGAAAGCTACACTGGTCTTTATCCTGTTATTTTGAGCAGGGAAGCAGTGATACTAGTTTGAAAACACAGGAACTAATCTGTACAGCAAATCAGAATTTTCATAACTAATGAAAATTTAGTTAGAATCACTAGCTTTTCAAAAGCTGTACTGCTCTGAATGTTGTTCTTCAGCCCACCGTTTTTCTGCTTTGAGCAGTATCACTTTCTGTCTGCTTGTAAACAGTTCTCTGTGGATATAATGAAAGAAGAATACTCTCTCCCCTACACTGACTACATTTTACTTCGTTAGTTTACAGGATGCCCATACAGAACTACAGGTTCTGTTGGGAGTGCAGCAATACACATATTGCCATATGCATAGATCATTAAATAGTAACAGTGCCAGTAGTAAAGCAAAACCTGCCAAGATGTTCTGTTCCTCTTAATTTAAGCTTGATTTATATGTGCCTGTTGACTGAAGATGCAGTTTGTGTCCACTGCTGAGATGACACAGTACCCTGAGTAACTTTGTATTGATTATGCTTACACAAGCTTGTGCTTTTCTAAGAATGTGGAAATGAACATAAAGAAAATGAAGTACATCAGGTTGTTCCCATGGAACACTGTTAAACAACTTACTCATAGCAGCTTCAAAGTACAAAGTTAAAACTTACCTTCTGCTCTACTCCCTTCGAAACAGATGAGTGCTAGAATTAACTCCCCTCTAGCTTAAAAATAGAAGTGGACAGAATGTCAAAATATGCTTTCCTGCAAAGATGAACCTTCTTTGTCATAACGAGTTACCCCAATGTTGGTGACCTGAAGTATGTGCGTTACAACAGGTAATTGTGGAAGCAGTATTTGCTTTCCCTTGTTGCCGTGCTGTTCTGTGTAAAAGCAAGTTGTCTAGAACACTGTGGGCACTGTAGAAAAAATAAGTTACTAGTATTCCTCTAGAGGAAATTACTATTATTCCTTTCCCTCCAAGAATTCAGTTGCATGCTACTGCCTGGAGCAGTCTCCCTGCTTTGGATAGGGCTGCATCAGGAAATCAAGGTTTTTCACTGGATTTCTTCTCTGGAAAAGCTTCCATCCTGGACTTGTTTATTGAACAGGAAAAAAAACCCAGCTTATCTCCTGTAGCAACATCATTTGCAGCTCTGAGCCTGCTCTGTGGCTAGCTCAGAGCTCTTGCGTTATTACTTAAACAAGTGAAAAACAATACCATCACCCCCTGTTCTTAGTGTATTGAGGCTGCTGGTTTACCACAGACTCTAATAATGGACTTGGAAAAGGCAGTGCAACTTTTCCTCCAACTTCCTGTCCCAGATGCTCAACTTTTAAGACTGGAGAGGGCATTCCAGTTTAATTTGTTTTCTTTTCTCTCTCTCTCTTGCCTCAGTCCATTCTACCAGCACCAGATGTGTTCAGAAGTGAGCATTCAGGCAGAAGCTGCACTACACCTCATGAACTGCAAAGCAGCTAAGGCACCTGGAGCTTCGAGATCCAGGTAAGAGGCAGGAATGAGGCTTAAGCCCATGTGCTCTTTTGGAATGAAAAATTAATTCCAACTCTTACTCATTGCAACTCCCCCATACCAGTGAATGAAGGACAATTACGTTCAATTAATGCCTTTTAGTATTAGTGTAATTTGTTCTAGTAGAGATAACAGTCCAGAGGGCTGTTTCACAAACATGCAATTCTGGCTTGCTATTTTGCGTATTGTTAGTGTTTACTTACAGAGCATAGAAGAGACTGCACCCTTCATTATCTTATTGCCACAAGCCTTTAAAGTTGGAAATCAGATAAATAGTCTTAATCTGTGGTTCTTGCAACTTGTTTATCAATGGATTATTAATTAAATGTGGCAGAGAACTCTCCTCCTGAGAAGGCTTCAGTCTTTGCACAGTTGCTTTAGACTATGCTTGAGGGGGTTCTTTTAAAGCACACTTAACTATTAAACTACCTGTGGTACAGTATATACTACCTTGGATTGTAGAGAGTTAAGGCACCAAATACAAGATAAAATAACATCCAAAGTAAGAAATTTGCTTTTGAACTGCACATCTCCACAGAGCACTTTGGGACATTCAACTCCTTAAACGTGAAGGTAAACATGTGGTCTGAATGGTTCATGGAGCCACAGGAACTGGAGGAAGAAACCACTTTACTGAATTTAAACTGTACAGTATGATGAACTTTCTTTTACATAATTCACACAGATACTTTTAGTAAGGCATTGCATTGCCTACACCATGTCAGACAGGCTTAGTAGAAAAAGCATCATCTTCTAAAAGACCCCAGGCTAGAGGAACAGGCAGATGTACTATAACAGAAGAATGAAACAAGTAAGCTATCTCTTATACCTTAGATAGCAGATGGAACTACAGTATCCCTTTGCTTTGCTTTAAACAAGTCAATAAAGCATCTCATTTTTCAGTAGATTTATTCAGCAGGAAGCCCAAGAGGGTCTGTGTCCTGAGCATTCTAGCTGAGTTACCGTTTTTTGAGACAGTACAACTGTTCTTAACAGAACTCCTCAGCGAGTCCAGCAGAGAGCTCATTTTCATTCTTTTGATGCCAGAGAGAAGTCTTAGTCAGCTTCACAACTGTGAACAACAATCTGAACTCATCGTGTAGCCAAAAGAATCCACTGCAGCAGAGTTCTTGTACTGTGTCCCAGAGCCACCGGAAATAGTAGCCAGTTCTGTAAGCTGCTGCTGCGACTTGGAACTCATCTAAGCTGGGACGTATTTCTCCCTTGTTTAAGTTACAGGCAACTGTCTACAGAGAATTTAGCTAAGCAGGAGCAGTTCTAATACTGAGTGATTGTATCTTAGCCTACAAAGCAAGAGGCAGAGGGAAGCCTGCAATTTTGTCTGAGTGAAGACTGAAATACTGTATTCTTCATTTATACAGTTCTGGAGAGATGTCTGGGAGTCCCACATCTAGACTATGATGATCTGTGGGGCTCTCAGAAGTGCAGATGCAGAACTGCAGGTGAAGCAAGGGACACTCTCTCAGGACATTGCTGGGACTGGATCAGGGATGATAGGTTAGAGCTGCTCATATTTATTGCTATCTTAGAGTTTTGGAAGTGCCAGGAGATTGATGTCCCAGAGTCACCAGCCAGCAAACAGATACTTTTTTTCCTAGACCCTGTGAAAAATCCTCATGCTACTCTTCTTTCATTTTCTGTTTCCTAATACTGTAAAGGAACTTGTGGTCCATGGAAATTTTTCTCAATAGTTAAATGAAAGAAAAAGCCTCAGATAATGTTAGATTTGTACACTTTACCCCAGTTAAGTTCTTTCAGTGGCTACAGGGCACAGTATTGAGTGAGATACACTTTAAATTTTTTTTCCTACCAGAAGGTGAGTGTTCTCAAAGAAAGACTCCTAGTCTCCAGAGATCAGAGATACTAGAGTAGTTTTCACAGATCTTTGTAAATGAGTAGAAATAGTCCCTTGGCACATGAGTAAGTTGAAATATTTGTAGGAAAACTTGTTTCTCTGAAGCTTTTGATTAAAGGTTTTTAAGAATCTAGAAACACTTATTTACTGGGGTGTTAGAAGGTGATCAGAAAGGCAGTGAAGGAGAAAAGCATTCACAGAAGCAGAGGTATTTAGCTGCAGTGGAAGTCGCAGTAGCAGGTTTACAGCACATTAAGTGGCAGCCATGACAATTGCTGAATCATTCATTAGCTCACATTGGCTACATGACAGCAAATTAGACAGATTAGGAGCCACCTACCCAGGCACTAAATTGCCTTTGTGAGGGTTGGATTGTGCACTGCGTCCAACAGAATTCGCTTGGGCAACAGAGGCTGGATGTTACACATTCCCTTCATGAGTACAGGCTGGCCTCCCTCCATCCAGCTGGCACAATGCCCAGGAATTGGGTCACCATGTTCCAGCTCCTGAATGTGTGCTTAAGACAGCAAGCGAGAGGGCACGATGGCAGGAAGGATCACGTACCATGCTTCCAGCTAGCCAAGCTCTCCAAACCAATCTGGTTCCCTTTAAAACCTTATGTAGATAGAAACATGCCTGGAGAAATCTCATAGGGCAAAGTGAGATTTTATCAAGTACCTTATTTCTTAAAAATTCATGGTTGCATCTGGGAAGATGACACCCATTGGGGGGGAAGCTGCTGAGGTATCGTTATCAGCACACAGTACTTCAGCATTCCCATCTGTAAAGACTGCTGTTTAAAACTCAAGTTTTGACCCTGCAGCTGGTGAAATGGAGGTGCCAACTCCTTGCAGAACTGTGCACTTTCAGAGAGGAGCTACCAGCTGACGTGTACCCTGTGTACAATAGCACTGGGTGTCTTCTCAAGTCGTGCTAATTCCTAAACAATACGTCTATCTAGCTTTCACCTGTTTCAAAGCAAAGGAAAAGACTGCTTCTAGAATACATGATCTCACAACAAGGTCATACCAATGCTGTTATCACACCAGTGCTACGATGGTATAAGAACTCAACTGGGATTAAATTGTCTGGTGGGAAGATGGGCCTGAGAGACCTGCTGTCCAGCTGGGGCACTTCAGACCCCATCAGACAGTGCAGCAGGCTGATTTGACACACATCTCCACACATGTGGTCCATGAAACACAAACTGGTAGAAAGAGAAAGCATGTACCTGCCTGACTGTGGGTTTTCTATGCAAGCATGGCTAATGGCAAACATGCTATTGTAACAGTGGAACAGGCTGTATTTCATCTCCCTGTTGTGTAAGCAACCTCACTGTCCTCAGTGTTAACAGAGCAGACCACTGAAACTCACAATTGTTCTTCCAAAGTCAGTGGAAATGCCATTCACCTCCAGTACAGACAATACATTAAACAGGTCAATTTGTTATTGTAAATCTCTGGCTTCTTTTCATCCTTTAAGTGCCAGACACCATCTCCCAAAATACATGCTGTCATCTGGCTAGCTAAAACTAGAGTTAAGGTGGGCAGTATACAGACACAGACTTTCCCTGCTGTCCTATTTATATATGTACTAATTGAAAGGAACTTTTCCAGAACTCTTTAACATGAACCAGAAATTCAAACTATAAAATAGCATTTCTGCTTCACTGAGAAGGTGCTACAAAATAGGCAGTGACACTAGCAGCTGCACCAAGCATACAGAGCCAGGTTTACATATTTGCCTGTTGGGTATATCCAGACATACAGAACTTAGTAGCCATAAACCAGACCTCTGATCTCACAGAAAAGGCACTTCAGACCATGCTCCTGTGAGAAGGCTTCAAAAAGGAAACTTGCAAGTATTATGCAAAAGAAAGGAGTTCTAGTTCTGCCTTAGCAAAACAGTGCTTATTGCAATATTGATCAAGCAGACGTTACCCAAATTACTCATCCGATAATAGCTTGGTATTTCAGTTAGATTAAAACCTGCTGTCAGAATTTAACTGCTCTCTCCCATGCCAACAAGCTCTTTGGCACTTACGGAGCCTGCATCCATGACACTTCAATATGGGAATGTTTTGCTCAAGTTCCATTTTCAGTGAGACAGGTTCTGAGGAAATCCTGCACCTTAGGAGCTTATCACTGATTCCAACAGAAGGTACAACAAAGTGAGAATTTGGAAGCAGCAGAGTGGAATGCTTTGGACTGTAAGAGCTAAAAGGGTGATGACAGAAAAATACAGAAATTCACAGTCAAAGCAGTTCTGATGGAAATCAATACAAATGGATTAAGCTGCCAAGTACAAGCCACAAAGAAGCAGATCAAATAAGAGCCAGCAAGACATTTTAATAATCAGTCCTTGAACTGGACAGTGCTTGTCAGACTGACATCAGTTAAGCTAGGAAAGGAATACTTGAGAGAAGTTCATTATAATGCACCTTAACATTGCCCTGATGCATCTAAACTCCTGTCTGCTGAAGGAGCTGGAGCAGCCTGCTGCTCCACAATCAGGACAGCTTAGCCTGACAGGCTGGAAGAATGGGCTGAATTTTAAGTGAGCTTCAGCCCAAGACCCAGGTTTGCACCTTGAAGATAACAGCAGATGAAAACCTGCCCCACAGAGCGGGAAGGACATTCTGATGGCTCATCAGTTGCAGCTGCAAATGTAACCAAATGGTGATGTGGTCCCATGGGTGCCAACTCATGGGCCACCTGCAAGGTCAGGTTTCTGCCCACAGCAGCAAAGCTAACAATACTTAACAACTTTCTGTATCAGCTTATGAATTCTATCCAGACATACCCTGAGTTATGGATAAACCTACACATGCAGTTATTTAGTGAATCTGATGTTTCAATAATGAAATGAAATACAGTTTATTTTTGCTGTTACATTTTGATGCAAAACAAGAAGCTTCGGGCCTGATAGACTACTACTTAATTTATACCAAATGTTTTAACTGTTATCAGTCGGGTGTTTCAGACACTTTCCTCTCTGAACAGAGACCCTAAAATGCTAATACAGCATCACCAATTCCCTCCCTTTTGCTTTTTTATTAAACCATTTTTATATTAAAAAAGTTGTTTCCAGCAACTTCAGGTACTGCAGTGGTGCAGCACTGCACTGTGCAACTTTGCATAACGGAAGGTTATATAAAGGCAAATTAAAAAACAGTATTTTAAAACTACTGTAAAACACATAGAGTGTGCACCATATAGGTCATAATCCAAACCCATTTTAATCCAAGTAAAATACTTGTTAAAACATTTATTACAGAACTGAACACAGTTATTTATGGATGGCTGTATCCTGATTTCTAGCTTTAGAACCACGGCTCAGCAAATGATTCATGCCGAGTGCAATCACCACCCGCCTGCCTTCCTCTCCTCCCACTGCGCCCACAGGAGGAAAGCAAACCTGGCTGCTTCATGGATTAATTTGGCCTAATGTCATTTGATCTCTGCAGATTTTAACTGCAGTATCATCAAAGTCTTTCATTCTTTATTTGGAGGTTAGCTCTAATAGTTTAGGGAATTAATTTCTCTCCTTGTTAGATAGTATCACACATGCCACTTCTTATTTTCATTCCACATACCTATAACCAGGGGGTGGATTCAGTGCAGGCCATGGCCGTGGCTTTGGTACCTACCCAGTGTTTTCCACAGGTATGCAAGGAATGCAGTGCCTGACACAGCAGTAGCAATACAGCTTTTTATGCTACACAAGAGAAAAATACTTGAAGGAGAACAGTCTGTTGATAAAATCAATTTTTTAAAAGTAATATTTTCTAACTAAATGGGAGTATTTGAAGTGGCCTTGAAAAAGACAAAGTTGGCATTCAGACCTAGGTATTACCTGTTCAAACATTTAGTTAAACAAGACATAATAAACACGTGCCATATACAAGATTGTCACAGGTATAGGAGATTTTTAGGAAAAACAATAAAAATATTCTTTAAGCTGAAAATAAAATCTCTTACCTTTATATCACGATCTCAGCTTAGAGTCACTACATTTCTGCTTATTTTATACAAGTGCATATGGCTATGAAGGTCCGGAGAGAATGAGAATAAAGTGGTATTAACCTGCTGAAAACTGCTTAGAAGTCTTAAGCTGCAACATATATATGTTCCAATACCATTTAAAAAACATTCACCTTTCGGTTATTGCTGATTCACAGTCCCAAAATATCAACATACAAATACTTAAGAGGAAAAAACCTCAGTAAATTTAGAGCAGAAGTTTTCTAAACTGGCTGTTTACCAGATACTGTATTTTCCTATCATTTGACGGTGATTTTAAGAGACACAAAAGCAACCCATTTGAAAGTTATGTTCAGGCCTACCCTTTTTGTGCCTCATATTAATGATGTGGGGAAGAGAGAGAGAGAATATATCATTTTAATTCGATTTTGGAAAAAATATATATTCTACTTTTTTCTCCTGCCTTTTTGCTACATTTCATGTCTGCTGACATGTGCAATGGTACACAGCACTACTGCTGCAGAGTGCCCATTGCAAGTCCTTGTAGCAATTTTTATAGGAAACATGCAAATACAGTTGTAGTATTAAAATTCTGAAGTACTTCAGTAGCAAAAGCAAACACAGGATTCTGCTTCAAGCAGGCACTCGGCAAGGTCTGTTCTTGGTTTGGTGTTTGGTTCCCCCCCCCAACACACCAGTCTTTCCCTTCTAGTGTAAAGAGATACCCAGCAGTATATACACATCTATTGCTATGTACCCAAAGAAAGGACTGTGGCTTGGAGTAAGTATTGCTTTTCATTAAATGGAACAAAGTTCAGGAAGTGAGAAAAAACACTTTAAAAAAAAAGGAAAAAAGCTCAGATTCCATGTCTGAAGTTGAGAAACCTCAAAACGAGCCACGTTTGTTCTTGCTTTTAAGACATATACAAAATGCCATTTCGAGCCACACAACCTGATGGTTCTAGAAGTCAGAGAAGAAATCTTGAGGGCCCAAGTGAATAATAAAAGGTGCGATGCTGAGAGGCTGGCAATAGGGACTGTCAATGAAAAAACCACCTACAGTGGGAGAAGAGCAGAGAAGCAAAAACTTCACGTTAATTTCCAAGAGACTGGCTGAAGTTGAAGCTCCATTTAAATTTCTCTGCTCTTTCAGCTGCAAGTGGAATTTTCATTGTAAAATGGGCACTTTGAATTCTTTGAAGGTATTGAAACATCTACCACTTCCAAGGTTACCACTTTCTAAACAAAGAACTGACAGCTCATTCATATTTCAGTAAAGCAGAGAAATGTAAAATATGCAGCAAGGGGGCAAGTTTACAATGTGGTTAGTAACTCCCAACAAATGACAAAAAATAAAGAATGACTTCTATAAATCATCAGAAATGACTGCCATCATGTTGGAAAAGAGCATAGCGCCCTCCTTGTTTCTGAAATTGGAACAAGTCGTTTGGCTGATGACTGTTCATTGTATAGAATTGGTTCAGAGAAGATTTGGTTTGAAATTTAACAAATCTGGGGGATTAAAAAAAAAAAAAAAAGGAAAAAAGAAACTACAAATGGTTGCCAATCAGGGGAACTCCAGAAGAGGCGTGGGGAAAAAAGAATGTGTGCACAGGAAAGATTCCTTTAATGAATATTTGATTAACAAAAATGGGCTCTTATCAGCCATGCTTTTTCTGCTCCGTGATGGCTTCCTTTCATCCATAGGCCAGCAAAGTAGATGGTGATTTCTGAGCACTGCTCAATTTGACCGCATCCCCCAGGCCCTGCTCCGTGTCGGCACTACCTGGGGCTGGTGGCACAACAGCTGCCACCACGTGCCAATAGAGCTGCGTTTTTTATTAAAGTACCACCAACACCAAACGAAAGTGAGAGCTCCAGCAGAAGGAAACCCATTTCAGATACAAACCCATTCCTCTGCACAAGTACCTCAGTTAATTCCCAGAAAAGCAGCCTGTTACACAAGCTGTCCCTTAATAAGCTTTTCTACTATTTCTTTCCCTCTAACGGGGGTGTAGGGGAGAAGGAACTTTACACTGCTTTAAGCACTGCTCTTACACCCTCTTGATCTAAAAGCTCCCCCTGCCTTGGCAGCAGCATCTGTTAGAGAACCAGTGTGTGAAGGCATTCCTTAAAGGAGCATGAACTAAAGCAAACCTACGGAAAAGCAACGGGCGAGGCCTGAGAAGTGCAGCCAACAACGCTGCTGATGTGGGGTGATACCTTAATAAAGACCACTTGAATCCCTCTTAGAGCCCACAGAGTTTATGCAGAACTCTACAACAGGTGGAGAGAGCCTGGAGTTGGCGCCTGTCCTGGAATTCCAGACAGGAACGCACACTCCTTGGTGGGAAGCGGAGTCTTTCGGTTTGAGCACCAACTCTTAGAAAGTACTGGCCTATGGCTGAAGTGTGTCACTTTTCACAGCAGCACTCAACAAGAACTGGGACAATTAAATAGCAAGTTTTCATGGGGACCTTGTTGCTGCTTTAGATTCTTATAAATGTAAGGGGGAAAAGGAGATGCCTTTGTTTTAATACAAGATTGACAACTAAAATGCTTTCTGTAGAAATGGTGGATGGAAAATCAAGGGTGGGCAGACAATCGTAAAGTGAAGAAGGCCACAAGAACAAGTGCAATTTGTTTTTTCTTATTTTTTTCTTATTTTTTTTAAAAAAACAGAAAAGAATGGAAAAAAGCAGCTTTTGAGCTCTAAAGAATCTGATTGTAACATTATTGTTGTCCTTTCTCTGGGCAATACGGACTGAACTGTGTGTCCCTGGAATTACATACAAGAGTCCTTTTGTGGGAACTTCCTTTGTTTAGTGCTTGTTTCACAGAATGCGACCTAATGCAGAGACAGTCTGAGCTTAATTCCCTTTGTTCTGCTTGTTTTGCAGTGTGTGCAAGTGAAAAGCCTTCTTGGATAATTAAGACTGTGCCTGACATCACAGTTAAAGTTTGCTGATTTAAAGGTTATAAAGGAAACTCAGGTACTGATGCTTAACTATAAAAAATAAGATAAAACAATATTTTAGCCAATATTTTACTAAGTTTATTACACACCATAGTATTTACAAAGTTAAATGTTAACTGAAAAGTTGCTATTGTGGAGGTTTGGTTTCGGTTTTTTTATTCTATTTTTATTTGTTAAAGAACTCTGCCCTGCATTTAATAACCCTACCACAAGTACAGTCATTAACTGGATCTGTGTGACTGCATGAGGAAACAGGCAGTACTCTCGTGTTACAACAAAACAGTTTATTTGTGATCAGTGTTTTATATTCTATACATCCTTCACAAATTTAATTTTACATAATCGGATACTTCATTTAAAACGTAAGATTTAAGCTTCTAGTTCTTCCCTATAACAGAAGGCTGGTATAAGTTATTTGAAAATGAGGTAACATTTCACAGAACATTTTTTTTTTTTCAAGTTTTAGAGAACTAAATTTGCATTTTGTTAAAATCAAAAAGTAGGAAAAAGATGTTTCTTTACAAATGACTTTGCTCAAGTATGTGTTCAAAGAAAACAGGATAAAAAGGCTTTTTTTCTTCTAACATTCTGTACTGTACTGTGTTGTTCAATCAGTGGGAATTAGCTTCTGCCATTTGCTAAAAGAATGAGTAGTGGGGAACAGGATAAGTTGGGAATTTCATAACTGGTAACAGAACCATTCTCTTGGGTAAACCTACAGAGAAAAGAAAGGGAGAGGACTCCAAATCAGTGATCCAAGAAAGTCAGATAAGAGTGTACAATTGTGTTCTCATTAACCTTTTCCAGATCAGTCAATCAATGTGGTTTTAGGGTGCAGAGTCCCACAAACAGAAACACTTTGACACTGGCACTATTTCAAACAGATGGTTAGCTTAACCTTTGCTTTTGTCCTGGTGTTTGGTAATATTTAAGTAAGCAATACTCTCAAAAGCAGAGCGTGCAGTTGGACTTGAAGCTCTGCTTCATAATCGTTACGATAACTAAACTCTACTATCTCCTCCAGTGTTCTGAGCTAATATCACAGGTCAGTTACAACTGCAGGTAATCTAGACAGGCACTGCTGTGTGTAAAAGCAAACTCACAGGGAAACTGTTCAGCAGTTCTGATAAGCATCCAGGTAGGTCAGCCAGAAATCAAGCACCTACAGTAAATGCTGCATCTGCTTCATTATTCTGCATTTCCTCTCCTGTATTGAAGTGGCAAATCTGGAAAGATTAATATCTGCCTGATTTCAAGATTATTAGAGAGTTCTTGTGGCCTCACAGACTTCTGCATAATTAAATGGTGATTTGTTTTTTTAAAATCTTGCCTATTTAAATTCTAGTATTTAACCTATATGTCCATTTAGAAATCACAAAGCAGCAACAGCAGGTATTCCAGAGCACCAGATGATCAAAGTGAAGTTTCCCAACATGCAACAGCTTACAAAGGCAAAGAGACATGTTTACCTTACAGCCAAAAAGCATTATCCCAGGACTTCGCATCACAATCATAGGACATTAAAAACAGAAACTCTTTATGTGAAAAATGGGGGCATTCAATTCCACAATGCTTTGAAGTCAGTGATATGTCACATATACACAGCTAAGTGATAAAAATCCAGCTCCCAAAATAGGCATCATGAGAAAAAACACAGAACAGAATGAATGAGAAAGGCACAAAAAGCTACAAGGAGAGTTGGTAACAATTACGTTCCTCTTACATCACTGTATAGCTGCTTGTAAAAACACACACATGCAGATACATCTCATCTTAGCCCTAAATCATCTTACTCATTTTAGTAAGCCTTTTTTCCTTGAGAGTAAGCCATTTTTCCTTGAGAAAACATGTAGCTGTTCTTTGTGTAATGCAACACAAGAGAGAGTGCTGAGTGGGGCAGCCCTGCTGTCAGCTGCTGTTCTGTCACAGCACTTGCCCAGCCCATAGGGCAGGAGTTCTACAAGTCAACTTCACTTTGGAAAGGAGAATCCCCCACTGTGAGCACAGCCCCTGGGGCTGTTCTCCCTTCCCTTCCCACTGCAGCAGTGTGCAGTAGGACCTATTGGTCCTAGACAAGCAAAGTGAACATTTTCAGTAAGGCAGCAGCGTTCCTCCCCTGTTTATAGGTCAGACCTCTAAAATAAAGTCAGGAAATCTATGTTTCAAAGTATTTTTAACTTTTATAATGCTATCAGGGGAGTTGGTGTTGCCCAAACTATACAAATTTGAGAGAAACCAGTACTCCAAATGCTATAAAAGCCAGAAAATTGATAGCAAAATGCAGGCTTAGTTTCCCATATGAAAAACACAGGCCTGGAAATGTCCTGGGCTTCCCCCAGTCCCTGCACAGGAGAGGGCTTGCTCCATGTGCCAGGACATATCACTGACTCCAAACGGCTTTGCTCCCATTGCCACATAAACCTCATTCAAAGTAACCAAAAGGGCCGGTTAGAAGTGTGCATTGTTAGTCCAGCATAAGAACAGCCAGTGGGGAGGGAGAAGCTGAGTTAAGAAAAACCCTTCCTCATAGCTCTCTGATACAGTCTGGATGAAGCCAGTGCTTTGCCAGCCTAATATCGCTGTGGTTCTTGGTAAAAAGCATTGTGGTGAATAGTCACATCCTAGCTTCCTTGTGGCTGGATGGCTGACAGTACAAACTACACAGAACCCATTCTGCTTGTCCCAAGCAGCAGTGTTTTAGCCTGCAGGGGCATCAGGGTGGGGGTATATACACATAAACTTTATGGAATTGATGGCATTAAGGGAGCTTTGTCCACAAGCCACTTACGCTTGGGGACAAACATTTTGCCAGTGCTACTGTAATGCCATTTAGGTAAACACAGGACAGAGATGCTGAAATAGGCCCTTCGGTAGTCTTTGAATGGAGCACAGATTGGCTGTAAAAAGTAAGAGAACTACTTCAATTTCAGTATGAAAGGGAACAGGCAATTAGAACAAGCAGTCCTTCCACGAATCAGGCAAAGCATAGGCAGAAAAGCTACTCCAACCAAAAAAGAACCACAAGGTTATGGCATAAAAGTGGTGTTGTTGTCATGGTTTTAAGAGCTTGAATCTCTTTGACTTTCTCCTTGGACTGCCACATTTGGACTGCCACAACAGATTCAGTATCATTTCTAATGTGTTAATTACTGGGCTATACATACCGTAAGCTGGTGCGGCTGTACTGTACCCATACGGTGCTCCGTAGCCTGCAACACAAACACAGAAGGGGTGGGTTTCATTTCCTCCAGTACCTGAAGATGATCAGTGTTTGCACACCAACACACAGGGAGAGACCCCTACTGGGACATGAAGCAGGGCCACAAAATACCCAAGCACTGATACATATAAATATTGCTGAGAACATTCACATCCTTCTGCATTTTGGCTTGAAGAACAAGCCTCCTCCCCATGACCTTCTTAAACCTCAGCATCAGTTAAATGCTGTATTGCTTTTCCTTAGCACTGTCTTGCAGCTGAAGCCCTCAAGTCTGCACTGTCAGAGCTGGCATGACCCAAACATCCCCTATTTGCCAATAAAAAAATACCCTAAACTACATATGCAGTCAAATGCAGGGAACAGCCATATTCGTCAGCTTCCATTAGAAAATGCTCGATGCTTGATGCAGGTACCACAGCACCTCAAGAAAGCTGTGAATTCCAGTGAATTGTCATTTCTAACAGTAAGTTTCACAAAGGGCAGCTGAATACTTAGAGGCAAACAGCAGCAGCCTTTTTTCCCCAAAGAGCTAAGCATGACTGGAATGAGCCAAAAAGGAGGAGTGGTTAACATGTGTCTTGGTTACTATATCTCAGTAGTTCATGAAGGCTTTACAGTGGCTTTTCTCGTGTGATTGCTTGTGTCCATCACAGAATGCAAGAGATATCTGAGAAAAACTGGGGATGAAGAGAAATAATCTGTGAAGGCCAAGGCCAAGAAAAGCTTAACAACTCCAGCGACTGGGAAATTAAACTTCTTTCTGGAGTAATTCCACGCTGGCAAGAAGCATGCCCCTGGCAGGTTAAAGTGTCTCATAAATGACTCCTCAGGCAGAAAGACAGTTCCAAAAACAATGTTAACAGCCATTAAAAATGAATTACTGGGTTTTAATATTTATAATCATATGAACATACAGGAACAATGAAGGCGACATGCTGTCGACTGTGCCAGGAAGCAAGTCTACCGAACAGCAGGGCTGTGCTATCAGTACATGTGAACTGCCAAAGGCTACAATTAAGCTCATGCTGTAATCCAGAAACCTGAGGATGAGGAATGAAATTTTAGTTTTTGGAAGCTACTGGATTTGCTTTGACAAAGGAATCTCCAGCATCTCATTCTTAGAAAATCTGTGGTTCTTATTCCAAGTAAACACAATGTCTAGATTCCCTTCAAATGTCACCTACAAGCCAGACATGTAGAGTCACAAAGAACAATGGACACTTTGGAAAGTAAGGGGAACCACAAAGGGAACATTTCATTAACATTTTCTTGTGTGTATCTTTTGTCATTGGATATCAGTGTCATGCCTTACCTGGTGTTATGTAGCCAGTAGCAGCAGCTGCTCCAACAAATGCTCCTCGTGTTAAAGCACCTCGTCCTCTGCCTCGAACAGCCTGGACTGCTGCAGAAACAGCTGTATTGACAACCCCTTTAGTCTGCCCGGAGTAATGAAAAAGAGCAATTCAGAAAGTGAAGGTGTTGCCGGAAACAGAAAGGCCACCTGCATTAAATTGCCACCTTTAAAAACATCTCTTTAAACATGCTCAATGCACCAGTCTTGTTGAAGACAGAATGCAGACAGAAGAAGCACTGTCCCGAGAATCAGACTGACAGGAACCAAGTGAGCACGTCCCTGCCTGCAATGCCTAGCCCTGCACATTGAGCCCAGCATGTTTGCTTCACTGAGAGTGAGTGTTATTTACCTCCAACCTGGTCATGAACAAACACTGGTGGCTTCTGACCCTTTCTCTGTTCTGTCTCTGCTGGCTTCCCACTGCCTTACAAGGCCTTTACCTGGCTAGAAATGACCCTCCCTGAAATCTGTGCATCTCACATGATGCAGGAGATGCTCTGGCCTGAAACACAAAAGACTTCCACATCCTCACTGAACTGCTGATCTTAACTGTGTCTCCATTAGTTAATCAGCACCTCTCTTTCTTTGGGCCTCCTTTTAAACTGTTTCCCACAATGTGGTTCTAACTATCAGATTATACTGTTACTCTACAATAATTACAGAAGAGTAAAAATAGAAACCTTACACACGTGCATAAAACAAGAGACAAATCATTTGTTTCCTGTAGAAGTTCTGTATCATCAAGCAGCCCAGAGCTGTGATAGCACAGTGGTCCCAAAAGCAAATTACAGTTCTTACCTGAGGAATAATCTTCTTTTTCTTGTTGTTTGCTGCATTAGGCCCAGAAAACAGTTTTTCAAGTGCTGCTAATGCAGCACTTGCTTTTGCTACTTTCTTATTTGGGCCTGCGCCTCTGAACTTCTGCCCATCTACTTCTACCTGAAAACCAAGACATAGGTTTATGCCTAGTGTTCGTCCCAGGGAACATCATGATATACCCACTTGTGCCACCCATAAAGAACTCTCATAAAAACAAACCAAAAATATCCTCAGTGTTTTATATGACAGTTTCCATTGCTTCTAGATGATGAACCTGATAAAGAACACTTAAGTGATCCTGTGAACCATTATATCACACATATTGGGAACTTGGAAATGATAGCTGCAATTTTACTTCCCTCCTCCTCCTCATGTCAAGACATGATGTAGTTTGGGGCTGTCAGAATCCACCAAGCCTGTAACTCTGCTTCACTCACCTCCATCACAAAGCGCTTGTCATGGCTTCCACCTGTCTCGGAGATGAGCTCGTACTTCAGACCTCTTCTTTTTTCATTGAGCTCCATCACTGGGTTTTTGCCACTTGCTGTGAGTATAGGACCCTGAGTTCTTACCTAGAGAGACAGTTACAGTGCTGCTTTAGAGCCTTTATCTCTTTGAAAGGCAAACAAACATCTACAGCTTGGTGGCTGACAGTGCCACATGGCCACTTGGAGAAAGGCAGCATTATCACTGACAAGCCTCTGTGATAGCTTGTCCTTCCCAACATGCAGCCCTAGGCCACTTCCCAGGTACAGAGCTGTATCAAAGGCAACACTGCCGTGCCTTCAGTATAACATCCGTGCTGCAACAGCAGATGGAGAGTCTCTTCTCTAAACAATGGCAGGGGGACAAACAATACTGCAAAAGAAGTTACACCTATTTCTACTGTTGAGCTACTGTCCTTATGGCCTGGTCTGGTGTCCACACAAAGCTACACCAGCTGCACTTGGAATTCCAATCCTGAGAGCATCCAAAGCTGAAGCTGAGGCCACATTTCTTTGGAATTGAAGGCTTTATCACTGAAAAGAGAGATCAGCCTTCCCAGCCTCACACACAGCTCTGCTGCTGGGGCTAATTCCGTCCTGGCACTACGGAGCTCAGACTGGAGACGTCTCATCTCTTGGGTCACATGTTTCAGCAGAAATATCTGTAGCTGTTTGGGAAGGGAGGAAGGTGAAGCTGCGATCTCAGCGCACTGGCGTATCAGCCTGGATTAGAATGCACTCAGCTACAGATACAAATGACTGCTCACTAAGGAAGAAAAAGATTAAGGGATCAAAGCACTGTTTGCCAAAGCAACTTCTTATTTTGGATAAAGATCAAGAGTCCTAGTGCCAGGACCTGCCCTTTGAAAGTGAAATGTCTCAAACATGGAAACCCAAAGTCGTGCTGCGTGGGAAATACCTTAGTCATCTTGAAATACTACCCATTTTTGTGATAAAATAAAATTAATTTTAAAGGAAAATTAACAGGGAAGTTTGTGGAGTATAAAATACCCCCATTTCCTTTCCCTGGTTATGTCTCAGTGAACCAAATACATCTGTGAATTGACTGTACACCGTATGGAAATGAGGTGGCTTCCAACTGAAGAAATTCATGTTTTAACATCTTGACAAGTACTCAAAGAACAGAACAGTTACTTACATTTACAGCACAACCTTCCCCCTGCTTAGGTCTCAGATTTCTTAACACCTCCTAATGAATTTTTCTATTTTCATTGGTCTTCATGTGTATCAGTTTAAGACACTGTGTAAATACATCTTTCTGACAACCCCCCTATTGCAAAATGGAAATTGTGACATTTGCATCACTACAGCCCAAAGGCAATAGGCAGGATGGAGCCACCCCAGTCACCAGACCATACATAAACTAACTACAAGAGACAACCCCTGCCTTCAAGAATTTCTGGTCTTAGGAGGTCAGGATTGCTACATCCCCCTTAAACCTGAGGAAAGGAGGCACAAAGACTGGTTATCTGTCTGCAGTGACATAAAGCCACTTGCAGATTTGAGCCTGGAAACTCTTATTAATTCCTCACTCACAACCCTAAACAAAATGCCATCCTCTTATGGGAGCAAGATTTCTTTCTAATGCAGTCCTCACCTCTAGGGTAGCGGAGGTGTCAGCTGTGGAATTTCCAGTATTATTGCTTGAGACTGAAGATGTTGTTTCACTTTTACCTTCAGTATCTGATTTTTCATCGGAACTCATACACTCCACGTCTGCATCAAAACCAGTTGGGTACCCCATGGCTTGTAAAACCTACAACAGAGCCACATGACATGAACTGTAAAATAGTACAGAAATAAATACAAAGCTGATCACAACACAAAAGAATGAATTAAGGCAGATTGCTTAGAAATACATTTTCTCCTGTGTTGAAATGGAGAAAACCACCATGGCAATGGGGAAAACTGAAACAGCTGTGGTACATTTTGGCTGCATTTTGAGGGCTTCTAAATGTTAAAAAGGTCAGATCTAGAAACTGAAACAATCACATTATTCCGTCCTATATGTCTGGGAAAGTGGGGCCCGGATCTGCTAGGAAAAAACAAGAAAGAAAGGGAAAAAAAAAGCTCGTCTCTACCACACCACCCATTTCCTCTTGGCTTGAATCATGGCTGTTTTGAAGTGTAGCCCAGGATTTGTGTATGTGTAGATGTAGAGAAAACAGAGCTGGGCAGGCACCAGCACAGATCAGGCTGACGCAGAGGGGTTCAAGGGCAGAGGAGTCACAGCTTTTCAGGGCAAGTTTTGTATTACATGGGGTTTTTTTATTAACTGCAGGGAGGGAGGCAAAATAAAAGACTGAAGCAGAAGGTCTGGGAGGACACACATGCAGAGAGCTACTTTTCCTGGAGAAACAACAGATTCCCTCAGATATTTCTGGACACTTTGAACTTGAAAGCACATGGGACAATGGGATTTTCAAAACTGAAATCAAAGGAAAGCAGAAAGTTGCCAGATGAAGCTTCTAAAAAGGAAATTCTTGTTTGAAACAAAACGCAGCACAGAATGACAGATGGGCTTGTTCCTGTCATAAGTGCAGTTGTATTAAAAGCGGTTTTCTTTCCTAGAGTTGTTCAGGTTGGAAAAGACCTTTAAGATCATTGAGTCCAACCATTAACCCAGCACTGCCAAGGCCTGTAGATGGGTATCGTGTTCGCCAGCTTCCAGTCCACTGGGAGCTCCCCGGTGAGCGAGGACTGCTGATAAATAATGGAACGTGGATCACTGAGCACTTTGCCAGATCCCTCAGTACCCTGCACTGTCTGTAGGAAACTTCCTTCCCAGAAACTCAGCAGACTGTCTCCTTTAGCTGTCTGAACTGCCCTCATGCAACACAAGGATGTTCATGTTGGGTGCTCTAGTCTGTCACTGCTCTACAGAGCTAAGCTCTATCACAAAAAGCACCTACAAGAAGTAACAGTAGCTTGACTGGTACCTGAATGATACTAATGTCGTACTAGAAAACTGAGTGGAGACCAATAATTTATATTGGTGTACACTGTCTACCCCAGTGTGTAAAGCTACCCTTCAAACACTGAAGACTGAAACAACTCTATTTCCAGGAGCTCACAACCCAGGAATAAACACACAGAAGAAAAGGGAGAAAGAGGGAGCCAGCAACATGCCATTTTCAAACCAGCAGGAGGAAGGAGTAGAACAGAACAAAACTGAATCCCTCCAGACCAGAACTTACATGGGCTGACCTGCAGAGCCCTGGGAAGTTCTCCCTCCCCACTGCTAGGATAAACCAGTGATGCTCTTTGAGCCATGCCCAGCTGTGTTTACAGTACACAGGTAGTAGCTCAGGTTTATCTAATATTCTTTTTAATTTTGAGGTCACATATTACGAGTTCTGACCGTATTTCATACTCTATGTTCCAAGACCTGGGTTAGCAGATTACTTCAGGCTGCCTTACCTTCACTGCCACATGGAGCTTGGCTGTTTTCTTAGAAGGTCCTGATGCTTCGTATGTTGTACCATCAACATCTACAGACATTGTGAAGACTGGGGCATGGACTGGACCAGACTGTGACAGCAGCTTATACTGAAGCCCTGGCCTGATTTGGTTCAGCCTCATCAGAGCATTCATGAGATCTATTGCTTTACTATCTAGTACTAGTACAAGATAGTAGAAAGGGGATGGGAAGGAGGGGGGAAGGAAAATGAACAAAACAAGATGAACAACAAATGAAAACAGTTTGCATTTCAGTGCCTTCCTTCTGTAGAAAGGAGCAAAATAACCCCTCAGTCTCTCAGAGGTCATAAGGCTGTTAAGTCTTTACTAAGCCATTCTACTGTGGAGTAACGACTGTAATTACCCAAGTTTTAATACTGTTGACACAGTTCTTTTGCAGCTAGCCACAGCCTTCCCAGCTGCTGTAAAGGAGTAACAAGTTTTACAGGTAGTGAGATCCAGAACTGGCACCAAAGTAGCACAATGAAAATAGCTCCCAGAACCGGCTAAATCCCAGCAGTGCTGAGGGACTTCACTCTGTGCACATGCAGTGTCAGTGTGCTGTAGATTAAGCATTTTATTGTTCTTATGGGAGGTGTTGAGAGACCAACAACTAACTCAAAAAGGGGAAGACTGCAAAAAGGCAAATCTCCACACAGCAGTCACTGCAGTAATTGGGGGGGGGACACAAACCAAACCAAAAAACCCCACCCACAATACAGGGACATTATCAGTAAAACACCTCAGCTGCTTGGGCAACTTCAATTTGACTGTAACTTCACAGGTAACCCCATTTAAAAATGCAAATCATTCAGTTAGTAAAACATGTCGGGGAAATCAGATGCACAATAAGAGATGTGTTTGACATTCCAAATGCAGGGTGATAGAGACAACATTTGTTGTTCCAAAGACTTTTTCACATGCTATTCCACACCAACACAGAGAAGCTTTTAAACCAGCTCCCACCATACAATAGATCTTTGGAAACAGAATGGAGAAGCATTGCACTTACTTTTCCTCAGATTACGCTTCATCTTTTTATTTGGATCTTTATCATCCCCAACACTATCTTCAAATGGCCTCTTAAGAGCAGAGGAGCCTGTACCTACGGTATAAATTTCCTTGTAATATGGATTTGCTATTGAAAAACAAAATTCCACAGCAGGAATCTGATTAGTCCCATGTTGGTCCTTGCATGTTTATAATGAAAAGGACTCAGCCATCAGTTAAAACTTTCTTACTGCTACACGTAAGCCAGTATTAGCTCATTGTACCGTGCCATGCAGGATGTCTGTTTCCAGTATTGTGTGATACGAGTGGTGTAAATCTGCAGTATTGTTTTTTTTACAGTTAATCTAAGGCAAGAACTCTACTAATAATGTTTTTACAAAAAACATACGAGAAAACTTATTTGTATCACATGTATATTGTTTTCTAGGAAGAATTCTTGAGTAATTCTTATTGTGGACACTCGTTCCATGCTTTTTGATGGTCTCTGCTTCCCCAGCATAAGAATCATAAACACTACGTTTACTCTTCAGACCCCAAGGGCCTTTGTGCTTAAAGCAGATCATCAGTTGTATTTTATAGTTGTATTGCTGCTCCTCCAGATTGGCTTCTAATAATTAAATATTTAAAAAAACCCGAACCCCCAAATCAAAAAAAATCTCACCCAAATCCCAACCCCAAATCACATTTAACAGGAAGAAAAGCCTTCCCTTTGCATTCACAGCTCCTAACCCAGGAATTTCACCCATTCTAAATCAACCCCTAGTTTACTTCCCAGTTAGAGATTTTTGAACCAAACAGCACCTACCTTCTTTGTCAGTTACTGACCAGGAATATTTCTGAAAGGACTTATTTGATGGGAGGGGGTCCATTTCCAAAACCTTATAGATCTGACCAAAGGCTGATAATCTGAGGGCATGCTATAAAGTGACAGTAGAAAAGTAAGTTACTTCATAGCACTACTTTACCTTGGTTGTTTTAAGCTTCTAAATAAGTTTGTCTACACAAAATCACTCTGCTTTGGGAAGAGAGTTTCTCCACCTGTCTCCTGTTATAGCTAAATACTAATGTCTAAACATGTAAAACTCATTAATTTCTGCAATAGAAAGTGCAGGGCACATGGACAAGGGAGCCTACACAAGGGCTGTGTGCTGTAAACACCTGAGGTGGGATGGAAGCAGCACACAGACACTAGACTGCGCTTTGTTATGGATTAGACTTAACACATATTTAACTCTTGCACTCATGAAGTATCATGTAATCGTTCCCAGGTAGTGCACTGGAAGAACTGTCAGGACTGCCAATAAAATCAGCTGTCCTGGCAGGGAATAAATTGTCTTAATGAAGTGAAATCCTCCCTGTTATCATACCCAGCTCCTCAGATGTACGAGGTTTCTACCTGCGCACTGTGCGTAATGGCTTCTTTTTGCTGAACTGTCATGTACGACAGAGCATCTGTTGGCTCCCGTTCACAGGGGTCATGCAGACCAGGGCCTCCTAGGAGGGAGAGAGGCAAAGCAGATTACTGACAGTAAATGAGAAGCAATATGAAAATGGGGACTGAGGGATATTGCAACAGAAGCAATATGAGAATGGGGACTGAGGGATATTGCAACACTCTGCCTTCAGCAGAGTGGGAAGCAAGGGATTCTCTCATCCTACAATGCAAGCTAGCCTCAGGATTTTACTCCCTTGCAGCAATGGCCACAGAATTTACCAGGGTTACCACTGATTGTGTGTAATAGTATGAATTTAAAAAAAAAAACAAGTATTTTTGATAGCTATGTATATTTCAATGAATCTACAGGAAACATGGTAATTAAATCTGACCTTTTTTTTGCAACCCATTAATAAGATAGGGGTTAATTCAGAAACAAATTTAACATTCCCCATTAACTTCTACTGCATGGAAGCACTCAGTTACAGCCAGGCAACTTCCTTTTTTTTTTAGCCCCATTGCAGGTTAGGAGTTCAGGGCAGGCATTTTTCACAGCAACACCAGATGTTAAGGCTGTCTAGTCAACCCTCTGTGTTCTTGAAGTTTTTTAGCCCCTTACCAGGAAGCAGAATTCCAGATGCCAAGCACTCCATCACTCGTCGCAATGCTTCCCCAGCACCCAGAGGTCTATTACAAGTACCTATAGATTTTTCACATATAAGCTCGAGTGGCTAGAAAACATTAAATTATGATTAGTATGGACACAAGGGTAACTGTAACTGCAGTTAAATATGGAAGGGCACAGGGAAAGGACATTCTCATCAGTTTACTTAATTTGTAACCCACTACAGGTCTAAGGGACAGAGCCATCCCCAGAGGACAGCTCATGGCACATCTGTCTGTTCCCTGCTCTCGAGTCACCTTTTGCGGAAGCCAACTGCTCTCCATTGACTGCCCAGGAAGTCTAAAAGTAGGAGCCTTTAAAGCCAAATCACCTCAATGCTCTCACAGGGTCATCAGTTCTCCTGCCTCCAGGACCTGCCAACTGCTCCTCTACAGGTATGCAGGGCACTCAGCCCTCCCCAAACACACTAAGGTGGAATACTAACCTCCAGGAGGAGCAGCCCTGTCACAGTCACAAGGTATTTTGAAAAGCTAAATTTGGGAGGCAGCAAGTGGGGTTCTACTGTGAATCCTTGAGGATGCACAAGGCCCACAACATTACATCTCTCTCCAGACTGAACAAATACATTCTTTCCTCCCTACAAGCACTTTTCTACAGAGGTTATGGTTAGTGGGGAGCAAACAGAAGGGGAGTTAAGGAGGAGTTTCATACATTGCACTGTTTTCTCCAGTCCAGACACTGCTACAGGTCTCAGGAGATCTGAGACCTGACCTCGTGGCCTTCAGCTCTTCCTGTACTTACCCATCCTTTCAGTGGTGCCCATGTGGGGACTCTGTTGCACAAATCCCGCAGAATACGAAGGACAATTACACATGATTTTAGTCCATTTGCCCTGGCCTAAAACAAACAAAATGATTCCAATACACCTGCAAAAACCTGGCCTTCAATTTTGTTTTTAAATGCACAGAGTCCTGGGATAGATTCTTTAATTATTATTACTTAATACTTAATCAGCTTCATGCAAAATAAAAGTTATATAAAATGCTTCAATTTAGAGAGACATATAAAAAAGGAAGCAAAATGTCAAGATTGCTTTTGTAGCCTCATGACACCTCTCAACCAGGTGGCTGTCTACCTGTCACCTTTGCCCTTGCACAGTACAGCACTGAATTCTAGACCTTTCCTCTGTGAGGGACTAGTGAGAAGTTAGAGGCATTCAAATTAAAACTGTCTCAAATTAAACCTCGTAAGGCTACAATAACAACAAGGTAAGAACAAATAGCCAACCTGAAACCATTTGGCGTGCCGCAGAGACGCCAAGGCCTCCAGGCATTTCTGCCTGTCCAATAAGTCCGGAGGATCTTTCATCGCAACATTGTCTACTGGTAAAAATGGGATAAAAAGAGACAGATACAATTTGACCAAGGGGTTTCTGTCACAATACAAAAAGAGCGGCAGCATCTCAATGAGATAATAAGACTCCCAGAATTTAAGTGCACTGTGTTATTTAATTTAAACAAGCCATTAAAGGTAGTAAATGTGCACGTGTGCAACAGAAGCAAAGGCATTCACTCCATGTAAAATAATAGTAATAATAAAGATGGCCACTGCTACAGACAATCTGGGATCTTATTAAAAATGTAGAACACATTTCAGGGCAGAAAATAGCTATATAGCACTTTTCTTTCTTTTTTTTTTGTGTGTGCGTTGGGTTGTATTGGGCTTTTTATAACTCTTCTTGCCCTTCTTCGTGACTTTTATTCCACAAAGGTGGCACAGAATTTCAGAGAGATGAACTTCTTTTGACAAGAGGGAGATATTCTTGGGGGGATATTAAAAAAATTGTAATATTAGAAAGTGAAGTTACGTCCATAAATTGAGAATTCCAAAGAAAAACGTAGACTATATTTGAAATAATATTGCATGAACAGTACCAGCCAGTACAATTCAGTGAAAAAAATACACAAGAAATGCTGGTAAGACATTTTACAGTTTGATGAGTCCTTCACATAACCAGAACATACGAAAGAAGTGAGTTTGCTAACTCCCAGATTCTTAACGCATTAGAGAGGAGGTCCCCTCCTGTAAAAATCTTCCCTTCCCAACAGCAACTGAAATCAGTGAGGAAACACAAAGGAGGCTCTGAGAGACAAGACACTCAAATCTTCTGTGCAGGTTTACACTGGTTTCTTCTTTTTGCTTTTTCCCCCTCCATTGTTTTATCCAGCATGCAACAAGCTGCTTTTAGCAGTCACATCCTATTCTATAACAAGGGACATTATGCATCCTTTCTTCTCTGATTTCTTCTCCATCCTAAGGAGTTACTAGTGTCCAGATTCTCTGGAAACCCTGCACAAATGACAGATTTTACCTATCTGTGAAATCAGATTTAAAAGATTTTAGTTTTTAGCTGACATGAGAACAACATACTAGAAGAACTGAATGAATTCATGGCTCAACTAAAACCTTGAATATGTTATTTTCCTATGAATGCAGAATTACACTTTGTTTCAAAATAACTAATTTGGAAAGATAGTATTTTCATTATTCTTAATGGACAGTTCTCCAGGTCCTGAGACCCTTGCACAGGTCTGAATGAAATACACCACCACATCCAAACTGAGGGCCATGCTAGATCAGCAGACTCCAGTAAGACATTTAAAATATGAGGACACATTAGGAGAAACTGACAGTTTGCACAATTTATTAATAACATCCCAAAGTACATTTTGTAGGTTACTTTGGATAGATTTGGTTGCATGTGTAATGGAATCTTTCATGTTGGAAGTTGCTTCTACCTCCTATGCTGCTCAGTTGGGCAGGTTACTCTGGTAAAAGCACATTCTGTTATGATGGATAAAAGAGCCCAAAGACAAAGAAAAGAACCAGTGTAAAGCTGAACAGAACCAGGTCTCTTGTCAAACAGTTTATGGCTGCAGAAGACTCAAGTGCTATAAGCTTATTTTCTAACCCTAGTGAACTTCGCAGCAGATATTTGCATTGTTTCCTGTTGCCCTTATCAACTATGTTACAATACAGGGATTAATCACTCCTCTTGCCTGTTTTGCAAACAAAAGCTTCAAAGTCCCAAAGCACTGGATTTCTGTGAGCACAAAAGGTCACTTTGGAACACAAGGTTTGCTTTTAAATTTCCTTTACAATTCTGTCATTTTTAGGAGCAGTGGTTTGTGGCACACTATTACTGAATGTATGTCCGAGTATTTCTGTAAGAAAACTTTATGGTGGACAATATAAACATCTGCTTAAAGCTCATGTATTGTATAAAACAAGTACCGTCAATGAATGATCAGAATCTTATTTTAAAATGTTAGAAATGGCAAAGGTGACTGATTGCAAAATCGTTCATTTTTTGCAGTGAACTGGATCTTTAACTGCCCAGGGAGTTTTACTCAGTACAAGCCTTTGCCAAAGTGTGTTGCAGCCATTGACAAAGGATATTATTTTTTCCTTTAAACTACAAAACATAAACAGAATATTTGCCATTTGCCATTCAGGTGAACGAAAAACCTCACAAGATTTGTTTCAACAAGTTAGGATCATACTCTCGCCTGCAGGATTAAGGTTATTTCCAAAGGTCTAAATTACAAATCCCTTGGAGAACTTTGCCAATTACTGATCCAGTGCTGATGTCCTGAGCACCTGGCACAGATGTTGCAGTCAGCCAACTTTGGAGTGCAAGATTCCATTAAACAGAAAGATGAGGAGGACAGGCAGTGGAGAGGGCGAGCGGCTTGCAGCAGGCTCCCTTTGACCCCCTCGGGAGAATGGCATGTTTCTTCATGCTCTGCCAGTCAGGAAAGTGAGACCCAATCCAACTTTTCAAATGTGTTTGCAAAACTTTACTTTTTTCCTTGTGCTTTTAACAGGGGCATCAATACAAGAAGTTTAATAAACAGTTAATAACAAAGCCCTGACATTAGCTTGCACTGTGCAACATAGAACCTGTGGTTCTCTCCCCACTCGCTGTATGTGTTCTCTTCACACAGCAGCTGCTAACTTCATTCATTCACTGCTGGCCACTTGAGGAGCATTGTCTTCTCTGTGGGGACAAGGTAACTCTGGGGCTCATTGCCCTTTCAAAGGCACTGGGCACCTTGGGAGTGTTCACTGGCCCCATCTGCCCAGCAAAGGCTGCAGCAGGAACTGGTTGTTGACTGTTAGTTGATTTCTGCCCCACTTTGGTAAATGAACTTGTTTATTGTTACATGAGCTTGTTGTTGCTGAACACTTGGTAACAACAACTAATTTTGCAAGCGACAAGGTTCTGGTCTGGAAAACCCAGTTTATGTTTGATGCTATGACTAAAATTCAATTTCTTAAGAAGTTTAGAATTTAAACTGATGCAAAAAATGCAGAAATTTTAGGTGCTTGACTTCTCAAGTTGACATGAGAAAGCAGAGCTTTATGGGTAGCCATTTGTGAGAACACTGAGATGCACACACACTGGTCCACTATTTGTTTTTGCTAACAAGCAGCAAAAACAAATAGGACAAACACCACATTTTAAACATGAACACTCTTCCAAAGAGGTGGGGACTGAAGAGAAATCCAGGAATGTTTTTCAATACATTCTGACATCAGGGCATGAAGGCACACACAGCATTCCTACAGAACACATGGGAGCACCGGTACCGTGGTCCGTTGCACCTAACCTTGCCGCGCTGGTTAGAGGACAGATTAGTGCCAGGCACACCGAACCCAAAACCTTGGTCAGTTTCCCATGGGAGATGAAAGGCCACTGGCAAGTGTTCTGAGCTCCTCCAGTCAGAAGAATGTATGGAATACACTCAAAACCCATATAGAAAGTATAGTTACATTTGGCTGGTGTTAGTTAGGGGCAGGACACTTTTGGAGATCTGTGTATTTACAGTATACAGTTTCTCTGAGTATTTGCTCTTGATATTAGATACCAAGTTTTTGTGGTTTGAATCTAAGTGAAGGTGACCTACATATGGTTGGAAATACTAAGAAAAAGGTATTCCCCCCCCTTTCGGTTTACTGAAATCTACATCACACTGCACATACCTCTGAAAGGGAACATGATAAATGTTTCTCTTCACTTGTGATGAATCAATGTCAAAGAACGCAGGCTTTAAAACCAGATCCATTAGCTATCCTCAGCAGCTGTGCAGAATGGCAGTGACACTGCTCTGAGAGCAGTGAAATAATTTTAAGATTTTTGAAAAATTAGTACAGAATTTTGAAAAATATTTTCAGATTTTGAAAACAGAACACCTACATTTTAACCATCAGGAAGCATAAAAATCCCATTCAGGAATTCAGGAGGCCCGACAGTTAATGCCACAGCAGAATTACTTCTTGCAAGAAGATTCTTGGATGGAAGCCTTTGTGCTTCCCCCTGGGAGAAAATTACAAAGCCTTTGCCATTAAAGTGTGTTCTGCACTTTGTGCTCTTTCCCAGTAACATGAATCAGCTGCAACTACTGCAGGGCTGAGCTCAGCATCTTATGAGAAGCTGAAGAAGAGCTCAAGTGATGTGTGGTTTATTTTTACTGGTCTCGCAAAAGAGCATGGTTACTAATTTGAGAGTGAGCAGACATTGCAGTTAGGGAACCATTGCCATTCATATGTTTTGTAAGGTTTTTGTGCATCCAACTGAGTGTTTGTTTCAACTGAGGAGGATCCCTCCTGCCATCGCCTCCAACAGAATCCAAGAGAAACTGACCAACGTTCCTCACTGTGCCGGTATTTCAGTGGGAGAAGGAGGAAGCAAAGGACTTGTGGCAAGTCTAGAAATGGGAGAGGAGCAACAGGGAGTTCCCTCGCCCAGGCGGGCCCAGCTGCCTCAGTTGTCATGACAGAGAGTGGCCAGTTGGTCAAAGGTCTGACATCATCCAGTGGCAAAGTTTCTAGGGACAGGTTTGGGAAGCGGAAGCAGAAATTACTGACAAGGATTTCAAAATACATCAAAATCTGGCTATGTTTGCTCTCCTCTGTTTTTCTCGGTTGGTTCCAACCTCATCGGTACTACCAGTCAGCATTCCTTCAACAAGGGGCATGGAACTACAGTGGAAAGGTCGGGAGAAGGAAAAGAAAGAAACTACAATACAGTTTTCTATTTCTATTTTGCTCTAAGGACATGAGGTACAACATTCAATGCACTGTAACTTCAATTGTATCCCAGTGAGGAAATTCTTAAAAGCTCAAAACACACACATTGTATCATCAACTAATAAAACTTGAGGGCCAGGATGACACACTGGTGAGCTTTGCAGGAGAGGAGGTTTTACATAAAAAGAGAAACATTTTTATAAGTTTTATCAAGATAACTACGAACCAATCCCACTTGACTGACTTAAATCTGAAAATGAGACTGTGCAGCTCTGGGTGCTCAAGAGTCAACAAGGCTGAGCAAAAGAACTCGGATCTCATTGTATGTCCAGGTTAACACTGAGCAATATTGCTTGCAGATGAAAATGATGCATGTTTACATGGAAATAAAGTGACTGTGGCTTTTTAAGGCACAAACAGCGTAACTTGTGGTGGCAGTAGCCAATCCAGTTAGTATATGATGTACAATTAAAAAGCTGCTTCCCAGTTCACCCTGCGCTGCACAGTCAGGGCATTTAGATAGAACAGTCTTAAAACCAAGTGAAAATGCTCTCTGTACCTCCTTCCTTCTTATCTGCTTCATCTCGAATGAGAGGGGATGTAAGTATCACCTTCAAAGTCAGCTTGGGCTCCTTTGTGTTACGAATAACAATAGCTGCCTCGTTTACATGCTCCTCCACGACATACTTCTCTTCTGTAAGTTTCTGAAAGTCACCAAGAAAGATTTCAGGAGTCTCCCAATCAACTGAAAAACCGCAGAAACTCTGTACATTCATGTGCCTCTTAAATAAAGAGACACCTGCAAGACACTGCAGTAACAAGTAAGGCCTTGCCTCCCTCATTAAAAACAAACAGGATATCCCCATTGACATGCTTAAGAAAAACAGGTCTGCAGCAAGGTTAATGAAAATAGAGCAGTTCCACTATATTAGCACTTTTTTATTTGCTAGCATGCAAAATAGCACCAGCAACTTTGTTCTTCGTAAGAACACAGCTTAGCAAGTCCACACTTCTCCAACAGTGCTCCTCTAAAAGCCTAAAGTTCTCACAGGCAGTCTGACCCATGAAACCGTAACCGTCAGTGCAAATGGATGAGGGATTCCAGTGCAGGAACTGCGGTAGCTCACCTAGTCTATGTAGCTGCCATGAGCTGGACCAAACAGACCTTACCCAGCTCTTACAAACCCAAAGATACTCTTCAGATGCCCAATCAATGGAGGTTTCCCCACCTCTCCACATGGTTTATTCTGGTTCTGAGCTGCACATCTAATGTAGATGACCCGTTCTGCAGTAGAAATGCCCCTTGCTACAGTTCCATTACTTCTCATGGTCCCTTTGGTAGTCCTGTGAGATACTGAATCACTGTCCCTTCACAAACAAACATTAATGTCAAAATTACACCTGCATTTAGTCTACTTTGTCGAACCCAGATAATTTCAATTACATGGTTTTCTAGGTGCCCGTTCTCACTCCTCTGATCTTCTCCAGTTCGTCGTCCTGCCTCTCTTGCTCCCTTTCCACACAGCACATGAAACTGGATCCAGGACAATACCGCACCCACTTCATTCATTAATACCTGCCCCAGGAAATCCTTGACAATGCCTGGAAAATACGACCTTCCTCTCGTCAGCACACCAGTAAATTGAGTGCTTTTAAAATAGTTTTCAGTAAGCTTTTTATTTCTTGCTTAGATTTCTTTTGCAGATAATAGTACAAGTGCCGTATAAATCATGCCATTAACTTGCATTGTACCAGTGTTATCTCAAGTGATCTGTATCCACAGGTCTTTCATTAGTCCTTTGGGACGGGCCTCAATCTCCAAAAGAGCAAAGAGCCCTGCAGATGGGTGAGAGTCCTGTCACTGTTCCTTCTGCCTGTGAGACCTTGGCTCATCTCATCAAGACCACAGGGTTAGAATATATCTGACGTACATTCTAACTTCTTCCCTTCTTGCAGTCTGCACTCCTCCAACTCCTTTACTGTTCCTATCTCCTCACTCCTAACCTTCAAAGAAGCAGAGCAGAAGCTGTTAACAGCTCTGTACCTCATGGGCCTTGACCTTCCTCCTCCCGCTGGACCTGCTGCTTCTGCAGAACCCTCCCTGTCTCTTATGCCCATGATGGCTGAAGCTTGATTCACGAGTCAGATAGATGCCTCTTACATCATCTTTTCTGTAATACCTTCCCTCGCAATACTTCTCACAGGATCTTACCTACTTGTCCCTTGAATTTATTGCAGTCTTCACATCCTTCAATTACGACTATTCTGCCATTCTCACTTTTTTGAAGCATATGCTAACTTTTCTTATCACTTTCAACCCCTCTCATCTCACACCTCACTACAAACAAAAAAATTTACTCTTTACTGCTTGATATATCCCCATCATTTTCAAACAAAATTTACTACTTAAAAGATTCGTAGCATTTTTACTTATGGATAAGGCCACATCTGCAGGCACAACATCATCTCATTAAAACAGTGCCTTTACATGAACAAATGAATGGTGAGAAGGGAATGGCAAAACACATACTGTCTACGTGGAAATAAACACACGGCATAAAAGCAGATCAGGAGAGAAGCAGATCAGGTTTGGACATGGTTTGGAGAGGTACTTGCAGTGGAATGCTCCAGGGCACAGTTTCTCGGCAGCAGTGTGTGCCAGGCTGGAAGCTGGAGTGATTATTCAGACTCAGCACTGTCAAATAGGTATTATCCCCAGCTGCTTTAAAGAGACTGGTATTAGCTGCCAGTGCTCTTATTGGATGCCAGCATCAGAATTAAATAGCCATAAATAAAAAGAACGATGAGCTCGTGATTAACATGAGCTAAAATGAGCGACCACCTCAAGTGACTTGCTCTCACTTCAGAAGTACAGAGGCGCTGATCTGGGAACAGCCCAAGTGAAACAAAGCAGCTGCAGTGTAGAACCTCAGCTCCAGGCAGGGGACAAGGACAATACAGACCAATCCACACGCTGGAGGACTTCTGGGACTGCACTTTAGATCACATTAGTGGTTGAACAGAGAGCAAGAACGAGCTGGGTTAGTTCCCAAAGAGAAAGGTTAGCTGCCATCACAGGAAACTGACATCACAAACAGGGAGTAGGCAACAGCAGCAGTAAGATGTTAAATTCTGTCCGTAACTACTTCGTGTCACCACATACACACCCTAGATGCCATCCTAGATTCAAAGTATATTTTAATCTCTATCACTTGTCTTTTTTCCTGGCACAAATTCCAGCCTTTACCCAAATACACCTTGCAGTGCTCTCAGCCACTGCTAGAGAACTACTCTGAATCAACTCACCTGAATTTGAGCTGGGAGATTGTCTTTAACTATACATAACAAGGTCTTTGTGGGTTTTTCTTTGCACATGAGCACCAGCTCCAGATCCATATCATCTTTTATCAGCAGGCCCTTTGCAACCAAGCCAATTCTCATAACACCACACAACGTCCGACCACCTTGATCCCTGGAAATGAAACATTTTGGAGTAATTAAAATGGTATTTTCACACATTCAATATAATTGTATTATCCCATCACAGTGAGAAGATACAGATGGGGCTGATGACTGTGCTGAAGCATCACTGGTTAGAAAATGCAGAGCACAAGATTAACTGTGGCCTAGCCCAAATTCAGTATCTGCAGATCTACCGAGAGTAGCAATAATTAATCTAGAGGAGCCCTCTGACAGAAATCCTGCTTTCCAGAGTGATCTCAGCTGTCTTTTAGTGACATTCCAACTTTACACATGGCCACACACCTTTTAAATGTTTGCTGATCCACACATTCAAACCTGTATATTTAAAATTATTTAACTGACTTAGGAAGTTGGAGCCCATACCACAAACTGACATTTGAAGAAAGCTGTTCATTTCCAGAAGTCTTCCAAGCACAGTTCCTTCAACAAATCTTACAGCTGAAACCTAGACAAATAGAGGTCTGACTCCTAGTTTTTACTCTCCAGCTGCAGTTTAGGGGAACATTTAAGAGCTACAGCAAACAGCTTTCAAAGCAACGTAAGAACACCTTAGTTTTGAGTGCTGAAAGACTGCAACAAAGACAGTTTAGTAAGGCTAGGATTACTTAATAACATAAGAAAAATGCAAGAAATGAATCTTGAACAGTTCAACACTGGCTGCTGCCACATGATGCATCTCACACCTATGGCACATCGCCACTATAAACCCTACAGAAAGCATGGAATCAGGAAAGGTGGCCTCAGCAAGGCAGCATCCCAGTTCCTATCATTATTACCATCCAGAGGGATAGACTGCATATAAACAAAAGAAATCCAAGCCCCAGCAAAACACCAACACCCAAACCAGTCACACTGTGATGGAGGGCTGTCACGTACATCCTAAGCTTCACTTAGAAGTATCTTGTAAAGTGACTGGTAAAATAATTTGTCCCAAACAAATGCATAAATAGACATTTATATATACTCTATAAATAATACATTGATGTTCAAGAACTGTACTCTAAATTTGTAACAGCACAAGCATGAAAACCCCTGCACACACAGGTGTGAAAGCAAATGATGTCCAACTGTCACAACAGCATTTCTGCAGGCTTGGATTTAAAAATACACATTATTTTTTTAAAGAATCCATTCTATGCCATTCTATACCCACATCAGAAGACATCTAAATATGGCACCAGGAACACCAGGAAGTCACCACAAAGCACACTGTGTATCAAGGGAGACGGTGCTTCAGCAGAACACTGAGCTTAAACACCTGCCTTGAGAAGATGACAGAACTTAATTGTTCTTCCTTGGAGAAGCAGCCTATCAACCCACTACAATTATCCTCTGGTGCCAATACAATCACGCTGTCTTAAACTAATTAATACGTTAATTTATGTAAAAATATTCATAATTTGAAGTGGTTTGCTATTTCTGCTTGAATGCATTTCACACCAAAAGCAAACAAAAAAAAAGTGATATATCACAGCTTGGTCTTACACAAAAAAAGCCAGTGATCAGGCTTGTGTCTGTTAAATATTCATTAGGGAACACAGAAAGCCACAGGCATCAAAACGGGGGACCATTTGCGTATTTACTTTTCCAAGGCTATCATACAATGGTCTTCACACTGCTGCATTTAAACTTCATGCAAGGCCAGCAGTTTCTTTCAATAGCTCCCAAGCCCAAAACCTCATCCTAGAGTTAATCAAAGACAAGATTAAATGTTAAGAAAGAAACCTGTGGAAAAACACTAAGTGAAGCAGCGAATGCTTTCTGCTACACAGGTTCCCTCAGCTAATACAGCACATCACTTGTTCCTAAACTGAAGTACATCCAGCTAGTGAGGTACAGCAGGGCTTCATAACTTACTTCTTGAACAGTACCCTAAACATTTACAAGAAACTTGGAAATAACTAAGAACCACATTGCACCATCCCAAAATGTAAACAACTTCACATCCATATTATATAGCAGCACACCAACAATTAGAAAAGGCCTCACAACCTTTCACTGCCATAAAATGTGTTAGAAAACAGACCATATATGAAAAATTACACTTTGTCATTTTAAACCAGAACTTAGTGGACAAAGCCCATGTAGCAGCGGACTTCAATAGTCCATGCATCACTGGGAAGGAAACTGAAAGAGCCCACTGACTACATCTCCAGAGCAGGTTATGCTGCAGATGGAACCACGGGAAGTCCCAAGAAGCTCAGTAGAGAAGTACTGTACTACAGGAAGAGAACTGGAAAGCGTTTTCTCGAGTTCTGACAAAGTAGCTGTCGGTGCCCTGGTGCTTCGCTTCCTAATCTGTAACCTGGACAGATACTTACCTGAGCTGGAGAGCACGTGAAACACATCCAGAAAGAAGGGAAGAGCCAGAAGTGCCCAACTTAAGTTTTACACAAATAAACGTTAAACAGAGCCAATTGTTCCTGCTTCTTCCCCCACTTCTGGAGTTATGCTAGAACAAAACCTGGCACCATGTCAGGGAAGAGACTGGGACACAGAGCAAACAGATGTTTCACTCAGTTGATAACTACATAATTGCACTGGATTTGGCTGGGACAGTTACATTTCTTCACACTAACATTCATGGGGCAATAGTTTGGATTTGTACTGAAAACAGTTGATAACCCATGGATGCTTTGGGAACTGCTGAGCAGTGCTTACACAGCCTCAAAGCCTTTTCTGCTTCTCAAGCCACCATGCCAGTGAGCAGGCTGGGGGTGCACAAGGAGTTGGGAAGGTACACAGACCCCAGCTGATCCAAGGGATATCACAGGACATCATGCTCAGTGTATAAAGCTAGGAGAAAAAGAACGAAGGTAGAACATTCAGAGTGATGGTGTTTATCTTCCCAAGTAACTGTTACATGTGATGGAGCCCTGCTGTCCTGGAGATGGCTGCTCAACCATAGGGAGTGAAGAATTCCTTATTTTGCTTTGCTTCCACACACAACATTTCCTTTATCTATTCAATTTCTTTACCGCAGTGAACACGTCTTCTCACTCTTTCCCTTCTGATTCTCTCCCCACATCCCACCAAAGGGAGGGAGCGAGTGGCCACGTGGTGCTGAGTTTAACTGGGTTAAACCATGACAGAAATGGATCCCTGGAACAGTTAGTTTGTTGGATAAACAGTAGTTTATAAGAATCTTTTTTGTGTATTAAACTGAAAGAGCCACTAAGCTACATGGCTGTGGATTTGCACTGGTGTTACAGGGACATGTATTTGCTTACAACTGCAGGTAAGGTTTGTCTACTGAATGCAACTTCACAACATCGCAGTAAAATAAGCAGTGAAATAGAGAGCAACTGCTGCCCACATTGGCATTATTACTATGCCCTGCACTCACCCTACATGCTTCCATCTCAAAAATATATCCACTTCCTTCGATGAACATTCATATGCAACAGAATCAAGTAACACTGTGACTCTTATTTAGAGGGAAAGGAACCCGTTCAGAGCAGCACAGTAACACATTATGAGGCTCAACTCACTCACTTGGCATTGCTTTCTGCAGCTTCCTCCTTTGCTTCCACATCACCCTCACATTTTGTAGACTTGTTCTTTTCATCCATCCAGTCAGAGACATGTTTAAGGGCACATTCTACTGTTGATACCATGTTCTGGACAGCTTCAAGTTCCTCTGGAGATGGATAAATGGTTGAATGTTTCACCATTACATGGCGGTCATCATTAGCAAAAGATCGGATAGATCTCTGTTATGAAGTGGGAAACAGGGGGGGGGAAAAGAACAAAGTTATTGGATTATCAATAGAAGGACATTGCCTGAATGGGAATCCTCCCTGACAGACGTAGGACTGTGTTTTATGACGATCATTGCTTATAATCATGCAGGAATGATTCCTTATGTTTATTTAAATACATTTTAAAAAGAATAAGAAGGAAAGCAAGCGAACACCAGTGCAAAGATCAGCACTAAGCTGGTAAAATATCTAAGACCTTGGGTGGGTTGTATGGCACCTGATAGGAGATGCCTAAATTCAGCTCTTCTAGAACCCTTTTACTGGCTACTAAGAGGAACAGGCACATGTGGAGCACAGTTTCTGTTTATGTCTACCAAGCACCTCTGGAGCAGTTTATGTTAGGATGAGATAAATTGTGCATTAGAGGGATGTTTCCCCACTCCCCCGCGTGTGACCACACAAGTCTGAACCACAGTACAGGAGCTGCTACAGACATCTAGAAATGAAGCAACCTGAATTTCACCCTCTGTTTGGTACCTCCATCATCAGTGGAGGCTGTGACACTGTGTGTGCCAGGGACAGATCAGGGAGAATTTAGGTGTGGGACTAGACAGAACTCTACACCCACACACGTCTAGAGGCGGATACAAAATAGGGTCAAGACCTGTAGAATGCATTAGTTTGCAATGGCTAGAAGTGGGATTTCTGCTGCTTGTCCTCTCATGACTCCCCCCCGTCCTTTTCTTGTTTTCACTGTTTATCTCACTTCTCCCTGCCCAGCTTCTCTTTGAGAAGACGGCATGGTCTGGCTGGTTAATTAAAGAGTGCAAAAGCAGGGAACAAAAAACCCCGAGTTTCATTCCCAATTTCATTAAGTGTCTGACTTCCCTCATCCTTTGACTAGCCTCTCTATTTAGATTAAGCTTTCAAAGCCAGTAGAAATCACTTAGGCTCTGATCTTGCCCAAAGGAACAACATCTCATGGAGATATAAGCTGTGAGCTACAGTACTGTAAGAAAGAGCACTCCCTACCCTGGAATCCTTGCAGGAATTAAGGTGTTCCTGAATTTCAGCAATCTTTGTTGGCTTGTGTCAACCTTCAGCAGCTGGATGGCTCAGAGCAAAGAGAAAAGCCACTTTCCTTATCCCAAAAGGTAAATTATTTCAAGTAGGGACATTCAGAAATTTAGAATTTAGGTGAGTGCTGACTGGGTAAAGAACATGGACAGGGCAGGCAGGGAGAACATGGACAAGATCCCCATTTTGTAAAAGGCACTGATGCTCCCCAAATAGAGTTCTGCATATTCTCAAAGTGCCAAGTGCAGCCACCTCTTCCCTGTTTATGCCAGAGACAATGGCAGCACGCCTTAGAACAAGGCAATCAAATAACCATTCCCTTGTCGTTTTGTTCCTGCTGCAGATGAAGTCATAGGCAATACGTATTGCTGAGAGCAGCTAGGCAAACTGCACAGGGATTTACAGAGGCATGAATGAAGATGAGGCTAAACTTGTAAGGAAAGACTGAAATAATGTCTTACAAAAAAAATGTAATAAAAATAATAGGAAGAGATCAGAGTGTCAATTAGAATAGTTTGCAGTGAAACTTGGGAGTCCTGAGTGATACTGCTGAGGAAGGTAAACTTAAATGGTTGGTTAGCTTGTGCTGGGAAGCTTATGCTTTGCTACACACTATCCAGATGGGACTATTTTGATCTGAACAGTGACCCAGACCAGCTGTGATCACAGCACAGACCTCTGGCAAGAGCTGCTCTAACTCTTGTTCTTTATAGACACACAAACCACTGCTGAAAGCTTCCCAGATCCTGGAACCATGAACCGAAAACCTCTCTTCCTCCTACACATTAAATACCTTGATCGGGTTTCATTTTCACCCCTGCTTTATGGGTTTGTAAAAGTATGCACTCTTAACAACAAAAAAAGAGCCTTTCAAGGATGTCAGAGGCCTCTGGGTTGAATGCTTAAAGAACTGGTCAGGATTTCCTGGCTTACTGCATTCACTGGGTCCCTGCCATTGAAGGGCAGCGTGACATCAGTCCCTTCCTAACTTTCAGGCTCCTACCCAAATGGACAATTGGGGTAGTAAAAGAACCTCATCAGCTGGGGTCTGGTTTTATCCCCAGAACTTTCATAGGCTGGAAAATGCTTCCAGGAGGTCCCTCTTGTGGCTTATCTGCAACATGGATACAGAAAGAAGCTGCAGTTCAGCAGTGAAGACTGACAAGCTGGATTCATTAACTTCCCCCCCACCATCTCTTATCTCATAAAATACCAATTAGGAAAACCAGTAAAACAGGAATAAATTAGTAATTCCTACATTAGAAGAGATTTGTTTCTTTTTCTAATAAAGGGAGACTGAAAAGATCAGTTCTTCACTGCAACTTAGGCCAAACAGAATAGCAAAAACGGAACACTTTGAAATACAGTATACTGACAACCCTGCTCTGACAAGTGTTCTTCCACCCTTTGTGCTTGTAACAGGTAAAAGTCTTCTCTTAGATAAACACAGCCTATCAGCAGTCATCAGCTACACAAACGTTAGAGAACTGCATTTAAAATTGCATTTCTTCTCATTTCTGTTCTCTCAGTAACAATCTTAGAGGATGTAAAGACACATAAATGTGCTTAAACTGCTCTCCACAGGTATTTTTCAGGAACTGGGTGGGTGTATTGCCTTTTGTGACTACATCTTCAGAATCTTACCATCACAATACTTCATACTTGCACAGGTTTATGAATTCAACATCTCAGGCATTTCCAATTCACAACCAATCCCAGGCAGATAAGAAATGACTCTTAAATAATATACACCAGGTGTATTCAACTACACGCATTTCAGCCACACTATTCACAAAGTCTGCATAGAACCAAATTCAGTCCCACAAATACAAGTCATCAACACTTGCTTTTGTGAGGAAGAGGTGAATATCAGGATTTGGTTATGCAATCTGCAAGTTCAAGGTCACTCATGCTGTTCACTGCAGCTTGCTAATGCCAGTTTTATTAGAAAACCTTATGAGCATCCCCTTCATTCATATTTAATAATTCATGTAATGCAGGCTCACAAGACAACTCTGGTTTTAAGAGGCTGAGAGTGTATCAAACCTCATTTGCTTTGCTCAAAGCATGCACTACCATCCCCAGTTTAGTGCAAGGTCAGAAAATCCCCTTAACTCTGGTTTCATCATGCCCCATGCAAGACTCTCAGCAGAGAATATTCTTAATATCCTGTGAAAGATGACAGATACCTACCATGGTTTGTTAGTGTTTCAGCTCTCTCTCCCTCCCTTTCTCCTTTTCCCTCCTCCTTGGTGTCTTGGCTAAGCACTGTTTTGCCTGACAGAACCTCTTCATAAGCCTCTCAGTCCCTTGACAGCTCAAGAGTTCATACAGCCAAGATGCTCTGGGAGTCACTGTCTGCAATTCACCTGTAAAAAGAGAGAAACAACTTGAAACCAGAAGAAATGGCATGTTAATTCCAGTAAGTGTGCATTGCAGCATTTGGAGTCAAACGCTGATTAAAGCGAGCAGCTTCAAGATGGGGAGGCAGCCACTGATCCATTTATTCCTGAACAAGCAGATGTCACTGTGGAAAGCAACTTTTTGTGATGTGCCCACACGTATGTAACGGTTTTCCCATGCCAGTTAGAGCTTATCTCAGTGTGGTTTGTCAGCCACCTGGCAATCCAAGCTTCTGATACGAGGAAGACAGGATATCCAACATCTCAAATATGCTCCATGTGAAACCAGCTCAAGAAGTCTCTATTTTTATGTCGCATGCACATAAAAATCAAACACACTGTATTTCATTATCTAAAAGAAATTAATCTGTTCAAGTCTCCAGTGCAGCCCTTGATCCTGAACGTGTCAAGATGCTGATATTAGAAAAACTAAGACTTCGGGTGGCAATAGCTGTAAGTGGTTATTTAGAGGGACAAGCGCATTATAGCAAACTGAAGATATGACTTGTGAGAATGCTCAGCTGAAATCATCCACACCGCCTTTCCTGCCCTTGCACTGCTTTTCACAGCACACAAGAGCAGCCCTCTTGTACTAAACTAGGAAACAAACACCAGCACTGGCAGCATAAGGAACTGCAAATAAATGCTCTGTAAGACAAGAGAAGAGCAGGATAACAGCAGGTAATGTGACAGAGAGGAAAGCATAAGCTCATTGCATAGCAAGACAATCTAGTCCTTGCAGAAAATTCCTGTTTTCTTTTCACTGCACATATTGTTGCATCAGCTTTTTAGCAACGTTTTAAAGCAACTGGGAACCCAGTCAGTAAATTGCTGCAGACTGACACACTCAAATGTTTTCCTTTTCTCCTGTATGCCGATTCTCCTTCTCTAGCAATATGTTGCTTATTGTCTGTCAGAGAATCCTGACATTGTTAGAGATTAAAAGCATGTTTGGTAACAGCAGAGGGATAGGCAAGATGACTTGAAAGCTGAGTAGATGCTTAAACCTCAGGGGTGTGACAGGGAATAATTAAACGTTGCATCCCATAGAGATTTGAACATGCCGAGGGAAAGGGAACAACAAATCCTGCTTCACTATTTTCCTAGTTAAGAAATGAATTGGGTTTACAAGACCAAAAGCTTTGGCAGCAAGTGCCTAATAGATGTTTGTATCTCACACCACATTTAGGATGTAGAATTGAGTAAAACAAAAAGCAGCCAGACAAGAACATTGTGCAGGACCCTGTCTGCTCCAGCAGCTGAAGACTGCCAAGGAAGAAACCCCAAGGGAGTTAAATGCAGTCATACTAAAAATACTTGGGAAAAGCAAGCTAATGAAAACCCTGAAGGACCTCACTTCTGATCACAAGGGCTTTACCCTACCAAAGCATATTAACACTCTACCAAATTGCTTCCCAAAAGACATCAAGAAGGAGATGGTCTCTCATAGGACCAGATTCGTCTCTTAAGAGATCCTGAAACCCAAGCAGAGGCAGCTGGGAGGAAAAATAAGCAAAGATTACTGCTTTGGCACTATTTATTCTATGAGCCAGTCATAATCTCTTCCACATTCAATAGCCTTTCACCATTTCCAGAAGCAACCAGACTCTTTATGAGGTCTTTTTGGTTTGCTTTTCTATAGTAATAATAATATGCTTTTGAGTCAGCAGATGGCAAGCTAGAGAGACTTTTATGAGACATGTTTCTAGATCATCTATTTCAAATTAGTTCTCTCTTCAAACTAAATTCCAGCTCTCTTCACATGCTCTTCTTCCCCAAGACTCCTACATTTCACATTTTCAGTTTGCTATCTTCTCTGGTAACTGTAACTTGGCAATTCCAGGCAGAGAGAAGGGCACTGAAATGTGTTGCTGACTTCAGCATATGCCCAGTACAATGTCTCTAGACTCTGAGCAACACTCCAGCCTGGCCTCCCTCCGAAGACTACTGCAAGCTGTTGCTTATCAGCATGTACAGTGTATTGAAAGCAGATGGACAAAGATCGCTAGCTGAGCACTTTCTGGTGCTGCAGTCAGTTGCTGAGCAGACTGTCTCAGGGCACGTCTACAAACTACCCCACAGGCTCTGGAAACAGACATACCTCAGGGTGCAGTTCTCATTGCTGAGTGCTCTTTGAAAGCTTGAAGCAGACTGAAAACAAATGTTTCGTAGCTATGACAGGGCTTAATCTACTGGACAGATGAAGCAAAACCACCAACACCTTTCAACACTGCCTTAAGTGAGTAGTAACCGTCTTGTTTTCAAGATGGGCTCAGCTTCCAGTGACAAGGATGAGTTATTGAAGGTATTCATGAGTTTGATTCTACCTGGCCTGTTTCTCACCAGCGAATGGTGAGACAGTACGTACCCAGCTGAATTATGAAGGGATCTTTATTATAAAGCACAGACAGCTGGAAAGAAAAAAACCCTGAAAGTTGAGTTGAAGCTTATATATGATGCCTTTCAAGTCATTAACATCCTAAGAATATCTCACACAAATGTGCACAGGAGTGAAAACCAAATATAGTTCAGACTTTGAGAGAAATTTTTCAACAAAAGCACTAAACAGGAGGGAGTTTACTGTAAAAGTGTAGACACAATATACAGAACAAAGTACACTTGACAGCATGCAGAATTAAATTAGGGAAAACTAAAATCAAATCTGCTCAACCATATGGACTAAGGCAGCAGAACATAGCTCAGCACCAAACACATCAGAAAGCATTATGTGAAGTGAGCAGCAATTCCATAAATCCAAGAGTATCATTTTACTACCAGGCTATAGCAGGGAATTTGTCCCTCCATCCTCAGGGAGGTAACAGCTGATGCCTGGACTAAAAGGCACAGTATTACAACACATGGTTGTTTTACCCCAGGGCTGCCACCCACACTCACAAGTCCTAGGACAAGCTCCTAGTGCTACCACAACCTTTGTGACCTTGAGAAAGTCACTTTACCCCTGCATCCTGTGGCCCTGAAGTGTGAAACAAGAGTAAATACTTGCTGCCCCCAAACCAGGTCAGCTGAGTAGAGTCTGCAGTGGGGTTTAAAGTCACTGGGATTTGACACATTAGAAATGTTATTAAAACATCATGACAGTCTAACAGCATTTCCATTAAACATCCCATCCTTCATGTAAGTTTATGCTTTGGCACAAGACAAACAACGCAAAGAATTTCAGATGAGGCCTCTGTAGCAGGATATATTCCTGCATCTGGCGAGTGTGTTCCCAAGAGACAGACATTTAAAACAGCCAGAAGTAATGAATATGCTTCAGTACCTTCGAGCACTTGTGAAAAGTGAAAAAGCAGGAGAAACAGGTACTTGCACTCCATGGGGACTGGAATGTAACATCAGAACTAGGGAGCTATAAGCTTCTAGAAAGGAGAGACAAACTTTGGCACCCTGATATCCCCTTGCAGCACAAAGTTATGTTGCATGGAATGATGAGGAGGAAACCAGGGTCACTGGACTCCAGTCCTGCAAACCCTCGCTTCAGTGAGCTGCTCTTTAGGCAACTGGCCAGGCCATGTAGAACACCATGAAAATGGGTTTTAAATGCTACATCAAGAAGGCACATGCCAATGATATTCAGCTGAAGCATTAAAAACACCCTCCACCCTCCTAATCTACCCTTATACCAGTATCTGCCTATGAGAACTACAGTTTACAGTGTAAACCACCCTAAGATCACTCAAAGTTCATGTTAACAGAGCAACAAGGAAAACTAATAACAAACCTGTATTTCACACAGCCGAAGGTGTATCAGACACAGTAACAGAACTGGAATTCACATCCCTTTTTTCTTACCTTTACCAAGGCAGACTAAGAAGTTTGCAACTTTAAACTGGAAGCTTACTTTAACTTCTGCTTTGCATTCAGGTAATTTCTCGTCACACCGTCCAAAGTGCTGCTGAAAATATGTTGTGTTTTTTCTGCAGTATAATTTTATTGCTGGCCTTCTGCCAAGAGGCTTTCTGGCAGCATCTCCCACAGTTGGAAACTGTGTATCTGGGTCAGAAAAGACAAGCCGCTTTTCAGAACAGCTCAATACATTTGGCAGAGATGCTGATATTGTAATTGAACTCTTTCAGCAACTCTTTTTATGATGTACCCAGACACCAAACAAAACAAGATCTGCAGTGTTGATTAATGTCAAAATAACTGACAGAGAAATATCAAAATAGTTTTCCCTCATGTTAAAAGTATCAACAAACTGAGGGGAGCAGATAAGAAATCCAATTCATGAGGATTCAGTGAGAAGCACAGGGCAGAGAAATCCACAGAGTATGACTGACCCTCCACTTGTGCAGGTATTATTTTAAATCCAGACTCCCTGTACACTGCACAGAGCTGGTTTCTTCATTCTTCTCCACCATAAGAAGAGAAATCCTTGGCACTCATCACCATGTAAGTATTCTGTAAAGAAGTGCAATTGTAACACTGGGATGCGTATTTAATGCTGCCCTGCTTCCAACAATACGCTCAACATTCAGTTTCACCTGGAGACTGTACATTCATAGGAGTTTTATTATTATCCAGGTAATACAATTCATGGCAAAACTGTATCTGGGTTCGCATTGAGAAGAGTGGAATTTTCCAGCCAAATTAATAATTACAAAGCAACACTGCAGTTAAAAACTGGGAAGGTACTTCCCTCTGGCAAATCCCCGCACTTCATACAACAGATACTTGAATGTGGCATTACTCCTGCCTGTTCAGCTCTCACAGTGTTTCAGGAAAGGCTCCTGTGCTCAGGAATCTCTTAGGAGCAGCCTCTGTCAAGCAGCCCCAACATGCACATTTAATAAGAACCAAAGACAGGGCAGGCACATACTTGATAAACAGATCTGGAATCATGGACAAAGAAATCAAAGTCATCTTTGCATGGTCCACAGCTCTGGCAGTGCTCACAGCACAAGGGAAGCAGCTGCCCAGTCGTCAGCATGGAAGAAACTACAGAAAGAGCTCCTGGAGGAATTTCGGCTGTGCTGAGGACAGACATGGAGAGAGAACCTGGGGACAATGGGTTCAAAGATGCCACAAAGTACTTGTAAAGAACACATGGATTCTCCTCCAGATTGTAGAGCAAGGAATGAAAAAGCAACCAAAATAAATCACACTGGTGAAGTAGTTGAAGTTGAAGAAATAATGCCAATCAGTTAATCTAGATTAATGCCTGAAGGTAACAGGAAATAGGGATGTGCAGAGCATAGCTCATATTTTTAGCTCCTGGAAAGAGGGTGAAGAAAAGATGGTCTAAGGGGAAATCATCACTAGCCTAACAGGAAGGTTAAAAATGGAACACGGAGGCTTAGTGTGAGCATATATACAATCACTTGAAGAAGAAAATGCTGCATCCTATATAGAACCACATCCAATCTCAGAAAGAAATATGCATTAGTAGAAATAACCACAGATAGCAAATGATAACATGTAACAAAAAGATAGTTTTGGAAGGAATATAAATCCTTCTCCTTTATCATTCAAGCTGCTCTTCACTAGTGAGGACAGGAAGGTACGTGATCAAACTCACCAAGTGCTCTTCAGAGCAGCACACCAGTTGCAGTCCTCAAGGTATTTCTTATATCTATCTCCCTGCAGATTTTTATGTAGCCTCCTGTCCCCCAACAACTGCACAACGCCCAGCACACCAGTCCCAGCTAGTGCTGAGAGTCTCTAATGAAACCTTGGAATGGGTCAAGATGCAAGACTGAGCAGAGATAGAGCAAGTGCAAAGGAAAAAAAAGGTTTAAAAAGTGGCTGGTTTTAAATTACAAATTGACACATGAACATTAATAGTTTCATGTATTTCCTGCTCAACCAGTCAGAAACAGCCCAAACTGAACTGCCTGTAAAACCGAGCACTACAGCAACCAAGTTGTTAAAGGGAGCACTTGGCAGGTGTCTTAAAGAAAATCACAGATTAGATAATACATCAATAATTAATAGCAAAGTATTCATTTGGGACAAGGCAGAAACCACCAGTGGATTCTCTGTGAAACGTTGTGACTTCTATCATCCTAACATAGGCATTCCTGTTCTTCTGGCCAAACTGGACAGTGCAAACCTGCTGCTACTTCATAGCATGCACCCATTTGTGAAGCAGCCATAATCTGACATCCACACTGAAGATCATCTGAAGTTCCAAGACCAGGTTGGATGAGGCCTTGGGTGATAGGGTTTAACGTGATATGTCCCTGCCCATGGCAGGGGGGTTGGAACTTGATGATCTTAAGGTCCTTTCCAACCCTAACTATTCTATGATTCCTAACAGACTATATTCATTTACAGTTGAAGAATTAACTAAATTAATAAAAAGTATTACATTACACTGAAATGACACCATCTGCAATGTCATTCATCCAGAGACAGACCTGGTTTAAGCAAAATTCTGGATCCGTGATTCAAATTACATCATATTCTCCAGAAGAACCACACAAAGCAGATCAGTGCCATGCTAGGCTTCTCGCCACACAAGCCCTGTCCTGCACTCACATCCCAACACTAAAGCTTTATAAACCTTCAAGACTAATAAACCTTCAACACTAAAGGCTTATAAACCTGCTAAATATTTTCCCTGTCGTTTGTATCCACATCCTTATCTGCAAGGCTTCTTTGCTCCAGAACCATAGTGGGAAACAGCCACAATGTTTAAGGGATTAAGAACAGGGACACATTCCTTCCACAGCACCCTTCTGCTCAACTGAAATAGCTGCAGTGCCCCAGTTTCTTCCCTGCTATGATTCACATCCCATAGACTGTAGGTTGACCTGAGCTGCAGCCTATCAACTAACTACATTTGATACACACAACCAGGATGTGGAAAAGGCCAGCAAGATGTCACTCTTCCATCAAGAAGAATCCATCTTCTACAGAACTGTGAGAGGCCAAAGGCACACACATGGAAAAGGCTAAAAATCATGGCATTCCCTCACTGTGGTGGTAATAAATAAGAGAGAGACTGGAGAACAAACTGCCCTACCAAAAAACTAGATCTGCTTGTATTGGTGGTTGGCACTTTTCATCAATTCCATGAGGCAACAGCAAAACTAGTTGTCCCCTGTTCTACATCCCAAGCTAAATCATATCTTGGTAATTAGGAAGATGAAAGAGTAAAGCAATGTGGATCCTAAACTTGCGTGGTAAATAAAACAAAATCAGTGCTTTTTTCTTACAAGTAATACAGTGTGAATAATTGAGATTCAGTTTTTCTACTGTTTACATCAAGTTTCAATTTCAGAGTATTAAGAAGCTTTTAAGAACAAATGCTGTCCTGACTAAAGTTTCAGCAAGCCTTAATGCTGAAATTTAAGCAACATTTTCTCCTCTTGAGTTTCTTCCCATGTCAATATGTAAAGAAGCTGGCATTTTCAATATTGCAAATCCACACTGGCTACTGTGCACATCTGCCTTCCACAGCCAGTTTAAACATTCATAACTCTGCACTTAAACACATTTTCTACTCTGCCACTCTTGCTGCTTCAGTGCCTTTTTGGTTAGTTTTTAATTAAAGGGAGATAATTTCAAAGGATTTGGAAGAGAAGAGCACTACACTCTGCAAGCACCGTGCAAAGAGTGTACTACACTGTGCAAGCACCTCCTCCATGACCAGACTTACACCACGTTTTAGTTCCACTTTGACTACTGAACAAATCCACTTTAATTTTTACCGCCTAATCGGTTATTTTGTCAAAGAACATCTTGTCAAAGGTCCTAGGTTACTTTAAGCTTCTTTAAGGTTTTTTCCTCTCATCCGTCCAACCCTGTTATTTTCTGTTTGTTTTTCTCATTCTGTGTCCCAGATTATTATTTCCAGGGAAGCCTGAAGCCCAATGTGACAACCTGTAATGCCACAGAAGCATCTGAAACTAAATCTGTAATTGTGGTCTTGGGCTGTTTCAGAAACCAAAACTTCCTCCCTTGAAACACTCTTCCTTTGCAATGCTGCAGCTCTGACCTGTACAGTCTCAGCAGCCCAGAGGAGCAGCGTCTTGGCTGCTGCACCACTCGGGTCCTCATTCCCACCTGCAGGGCCTCACCACAGCCCTCAGCTACAGCAAAACCAAGCTTGCAGCTTAATGAATGAATTGCTTCCACATAACTGACTTGCAACTGACTTTGCAAGCCATTCATACAAAAGAGAGGGGAAAGGAGGATTTTTAGTAGAATTGTTTTAAAAAGCACATGTTCCATAATGTTCCCAGTATTGAACGCCAATGAATCGGTGTTAGTAATGGAAACATTTGGAGTGGGAAGAATGACAGAAACAGAGATCCTATCTGCCAGGCAGGGGCTACCAAGTTTGATTTAGATATAGTTGAAGAACCCGTACAACAGAAAGCACAGGGAATATCTCTCCAGGGAACAGTACCCTGGCTGCCATCAATTTTCAGCCTCAGAACACAATTATTTACTTCACATGCACGATAACACTACCTAAAGATTTGAATTAGTTTATCTAGGCATGAAAGCTAGCAAAATATCCTTATGAAAAGTAACACACATCGCCACACCAGTGTGTTAGTCTGGCATCAGTGATTTAAGTCCACTATTCATGCCTTGAACAAGATTTTGTAGTAGGAAGCCCTGGCTTGGCCAAGAGGAAGAATAAGAGCCACAAACACATTTAGAGATTTACAAAACTTAATACATTAAAAATCCCATTTTCCTGGAATACCAGAAGACTCTCGAAGTATTTTGAATTGGCTTAATCCAGCATCTTCTTGCCTCAGCAGATCGCTGCTGCAAACACGTGCTGTCAGATCTGCCAACTGCAGTTGCAGAACTCATCTATTATTCCTCTCTCCAGTTAGCAGAGCGGAGCTGTGTAAAAGTATAAAAAAACCTAACTCTAGCAGGGACCATCATGGTGGCAGTGCTGTTTGAAGACCACAAGCTAAGCTGTAAAGTTAATGTCTCAGCATAGGTTATATCTGTGTGTCATCCTTCGGAACTTCCTGAGACAAGTAATGAATTCCACCTTTTTTTGTTTTTTGTTTTTTTTTTTAAGAGATATCGAAATAGAAAAAGATAAGCAAAATTATGTTTAGGCACCTGTAGCACTATATTCTCCAATGTCTTTAGAGAACACAACTGTTTAAGTAATTGATCTTGAACTTGAGAAGTTACATTCAATTGGGTTTTTTATCTTTTGAATTTCAAATAAAACCTGGTGGAAGCAAGAAGCCAACAGCACAAATCTGCCAATCTCACCTGGGGGTCATTTTTAAGAGCAGACATGACTTCTTTCTTTGTATTTCATATAGGGCTCTGAATTAGTTTCATCTCTCTTCACAGATAACAATGCCATCTCTAGTGTGCCACTTCACTCGAAGCAGCGTGAAAGATGCTTCTTCGTCTCTTAAGAGAAGGCTCTTCAGTTTTTGCCACTCAACACCATTTTCTTTAGATCAGGTAATGAATATTGTACCTTGTTCTCCCTGTCAGCATTAAGCAACACATCTCTGAACAGCAAAATACAAGGCTGTAATGAACATCAGTGTCTTGGAGGCCACATGCTTGCCACAAGTGCACAGCAGACTGCTCAACTCCAGTGTAAAAGAGGGTGCATACCCGGTTTGGTCTGAGGGAAACAAACAGACTGTGCAATCAATAGCAGCATTCAAAGTGCTCTGAGCTTTGCAGGGAGATTGATTTACAACAACAAAATTCCTTCTCCCCAAAGCTCCCTTCATACACTACAGTTGCTAAAAGTGACACTTGAAATTACTATCAGGGGAAAGACTAGAGAAAAACAATCTAAGTTTATTTTGGACCATTAACTGCATTTTGTGTCTAGCCACTTCAGTTCCCCTGATAACAGGAAACCTGCTGTTCCTAAAAGCATCATTGAAAAATAAAATAAATCCCATCAAAAGAAGGTGCATTTGGAAAGCTAAAACCTGTCAGGGTAGGAGAGTGCACAGTGCAAGAGGCACAGGGCAGGGTCAAAACCTGAATTAAAACCAACTGCTATACAAACAGATGGTGTTCTCCTAAACTGGGCAATAGGATGTAAAACCTTTCATCCCTCAGTGAGAAGTTATGAGGAAACTAGATTAGAGTCTTGACATTTTTATTGCCTACTTAGGCCACATATGTAAATATGGGTCCATGTCACATCATTATTATAGGCTGCCGCAGCAAAGAGAACGAGAACATTGACCTCTGGTCTTGTCAGCACAAAAAAACCTGCGTGGTTTTCAAAGTCTATACTTTCAGTGGTAAAAAGACTGTCAGACTATAATGCTGTCAATCCAGTTTATTCCACAGTTCAAACAAAATTCAGCTCTAAAGCATGAAACTTTTGTGTTAATGAGAAAAAAATACCTTAAAAAAAGTACCAAGATGTGTTGCTTTGTGCACTGAAAGCACGCACTTCTGCTGTTTTACAAGTTCTATTCTCTCTGCATGGCTCCTCTGCTGTGAGACAAAAGTCTCTGTTTCGGGTTTGTCAGTGATATTTGCCAACTCCTACGCTTGCTGCACTACAGTGTTCAGAGGCCAGTCAGAACTAACTTGACAAGTTAGTTCATCATTAATTAACTGCAGAAATACATTAAAGAAAACAACACCAAGGTGAAAGAGCGTTCTTCTAAAGGCTTTTTGCTTCTTTTGAGAGGAACAAAAAGGAAGTAATTAAACCTGGCTAACACTTCTCACTTAGCATCTTGCTCTAAAGCATTTAGAACTCATGCTTTGAAGGACTAAGGAAAGAACTTCAGAGCCACCAGTGCAGAACCCTCAACACAAAAAAACCTGTCCCTAAAATTCAGTGGACAAATCCTACCAGAGAGTTTCATGCTTTACCAAGTCAAAATCCAGAAGTTAAATTTAGAATGATGATTTCTGCAGGCACTCAGATGTTTCTGTTCTAAATTTTCTAGAAATTGCAAATTAGAACTTGGCAGACTTTAAACTGACCCAGCGTGTGTCTTCTGTAATCCAAATCATATTCTGTCCTATTACTCTGCAAAACTGTTAGGAAAAAATATCATGCCTTTCAACACATGGTTTCAGACAAGTGACAGAGACATTCCATTTATCTCTGGGCTAAGAACAAAACTTAAGTAGTGTTTTTTTGCCTTGGAATACTGCCATGAAAATTAAAAGCTAATAGAGGAATTGGTTATCTCCATTGGAAAATAAGTATAGTTTGCTTAATACCACCACTTACATAACTGTATTAATTCAAAGTTGTTGTGGTAATTTTTTTCCATTTACCATGGGGAGAATATATCATATTTCTAGACTCTCTGATCCCACTCCTCAATTCTGCAACCAGATACTCACCAATACATGCAGGTGTCACCAGGCTGTTCTGTGGAAGCAGCTGGCAGTCCCTCCAAGTTCACTAGCATTGTCTCTGCAGCTACTCAAGAGATCAAGGTTTTTTGCAACACCATGAACAACACTTGGAATGAACCAGCTCAGAGGTTACAGAGCAGAGAAATACCAGTAAGCAGAGTACTACCCAACGTCCCATTGCTGACCTGCAGGAGATAGCAATCTTCAGGCTGGACTAAACAGCAGAGACTAAATACATTACTCAGTCTCTTCCATTTTGATTGCAGTATCAAGCTTCAAAGTGCTTTTATTAGCAAAAAGTCATCAGACCTTAGCTACATGCACGAGAATTTCACACCACTTCATAAACATTAATTCTCCAATTGCTGTAATAGCTGTAAATGTTATGCTGTCTGCATTTAGAAGAGACCCTGTTGCCCAGTAACTTAAGAGACTTGCCCGGTGCCATAGTAAAGGATTGTTAGGACTTGGAAAAGTAGTTCATTTTTCATTTACTGTACACACTAAGCGTGGAGCATGCCCTCTCCCCTCCTTTCTAGCTTTCCACCCTTTACTTAGGATTATTTAATTTGGACAGCCACTGCACTGCTGGCTGCTTTTGCTATTCAATCTCTCCCTCACAGGACAACAGTACTCCTCCACAGGTCAGCTTGGCAAACTGTCATAGCAAATGCTTGACAACAATTACCTGTAGATTCATGAGATTCAAATTAGCAATTCAGTATCTGAATATGGTGTGATGAGACTCGGGAATCCAGTTCAGAATGTGCCCTATTTTCAGGCATCAAATTTTTCTGAGCACTCAACTCTTTTGTAAGTCAAACTGACATGGACTAGGGATCCTTATGTGTCTTTTTCCAAAGAGGACAATGGAGTCCCTCTTTTGCTAGGCAGCAGGACACACAGAGTCTGTTCTCTCGAAGAATTGAAGCCAGAAAAATAAGAGCATTTCAGGACACTAGCAAAGAACCTGAACCATTTTGCAAGATAAGGGGAAGCTTTGCAGCCTCACTCTATAAAGCAGCCTACTCCTTACCATTGAGCAGTGCACTCTGCACAATAAATTGTAGCATATTTTTGGGGTTTGAATTAAAAACCAAAGGTAGTTGTCTTTGCCACTTGGTGTTTCTTTGCCATTTGCTCTATACAGCATAGGAACAAGCTATGGAGGATAGGGGTGTTCATTCTTCTCTCTTCAAATGAAGAAAAATCAATCCATAAACCCCAGTCTTCACACTAGATACCAGGCAGCTATCTAAACCACCCCAAAACAATCCAAGAGGATGGACAAATCAGAAAATGAATGGGTAACTCCCGGATGACCAGGAGTACACGTGTGTCATCACTTCCCCTGCCTGTACCCCAGTCACACACCTCAAACAGTATCTCTTCAATCTGCCTCACACTAAGCTCCAGCCATCTAATTGCAGTTTATAATTTCTGTGAGTTCACTCAGGATGGCTACTTTGATCTGACATCAAGGAGACTACAGACTGTGTACTTCAATAGGATGATCCCTCCAACAAGCCCAACTCTGCCAAAAGGCCACTCTTCATCTCTATTGATGCTACTTTTCCTGCTTCTAACCCAATCTTCTCTTAGCAAACACATACCGCTTCCCTTGGGCTTCATGCATCCTGGTTGTTTGGATGTCCAGGCAAGCAGTTTTGTCTCCTGTACAGCGAACAGGAGATATTCCAGACCTTGTTAGAATAGAGTATTTTCAGCTGGAAGGGACCTACAATGATCATCTAGTCCAACTGGAACACAAGAGGAGCACAGATAATGGAAATGGAGCAAGGCAAAGGCAAGTGAGGGGAAGCACAGCAAATCCCTGTACTCTCGGCCAGAAGTCAATCTTTTGTGTACTGAGCATGAGACTTGCTACTGTACTGTGTGATGAGGGTAAAGAGAACTCATTGAGACAAGGTGCACCTGCTAAAACTGGCAAGAAAACCAGCTGGCTACTGCAAATCAGTAGTGCCCAGTGCAAACAGAAAGCAAGTCTCTGTTCTTCTGGCACAAGAGAACTCCATTACTGCAAGGAGCACATACAGATCAGACATTTACTAGCAAAAGAAGCTAGCCAAGGGATTTATATTCAAGATTACAGATCACGCTATGAAAGAAAACAAACATGCCACTGAGTCCCATACCCAGACAAGCTCTCCTCGAGCGGTTCTTCCTCTGAAGGAGAACTGCAAGGAGACAGGCTGAGCCAACACTTCCTACAGTAACTGCAGAAGCACCAGTACAATGATATTCAAACCCTGCAGTAACTGCAGAAGCATCAGTAAATAGTCCAAATGCTGAAGGAACATTTGACAGTTTCAGCTGGACTCCCTCTACCTCACTGGGGAATTAACTGATCCCAGTCAGCTTAGCTCAGCTCTGTATTTCCCTGTTCCTCTGCAAACTCTTCTGAATCCTCTTCAGCCATAATATTCTTTCAGCACACTCTTCTCCTCCAAAATGTCATGGAACGACACAGCCATCAGAAGTTGCGTACACATGGTGCTGGAAGGATGACCTCTCCTGTAAAGGAGAGGCCAACTGCATCTTTGTATGGTGCTGCTGCAAGTTCTCACTGAAGGTGGAATGCTGTTATGACAGTGACACTGTGCTCATGTTGCATTACTAAAAGCACACTTGGAAGCATCTCAGCAGGAACCAGACCAGAGGCATGCTACCACCCAACTACACAGAAAAAGCAGATCCATCTGTAATGTGATTATTTTAATACTAACACAGAATCCATTAAGAATTTGTGTTCCATTAAGGAACACAGAACATTGCACCTATGCACTGGTAAGTTCTTCAACTGAGAACAGGATCTTACTGAAGAATGTTTGGAGCAGCCACATCCCATTTTCCTTTTCAGAATCTGCTTTCATAAGTCACGGTGCCTCAACAGTTGCAGCTTTATCAGTAGTCCCATGTAAGTGCTCTATCTAAGAGCTTTTCCTTAGCTCTGCAGTCATACTTCGTTTCACACTGAAACTTGGCATGAAGCTCAGGCTCCTGACCCATAGCGAGAAGTTAAACAACACTGCTCGTTTGTTTTTAAAAGGGTTAGGAAGTCTCCAGTTTTGGGTTCTTCAGTGTTCGGTCTGGAGGGAAGTAAATATACACAGTACCAACTCAGGAACATTCAGTATTCAACCCCAGTGTGCAAAGAACAGGGGTTAATCAGAGATCTGTCAAATATGTACTTTGTAAACTGCTCTTATTATGGTTTATTACATGAGGTCACATCCACAAAAAAAGATTTCTGGTCAAGAGTTCACTACTTATATAATGCTGACTCCCAGATACCTGCAAAAGACAATATCCTTTATCTCATGAGCTAACAAAGAGGAAAATGACTGAAAGATAAAGCAGACTGCCTGAAAATAATCAACCTGCAAAAGACAATCTTATTCCCACACGGAATGTTAGTAGAAAAGACACAAAGACAAAAATATTTTGATTTTATTTTTATGCCTTTTATCACAACTGATTCCAACAGTAACATCACGACTGAGACAGTGACAGCTGGTTTTTCTAAACCGTGGAATAGTATGAAATCTGAAGTGGAAAAGTATCGTGTAAGTTGGTAAAGCATAAGCATGCAAAGGAGACTTCTACATCAAATTCATTCCTTAGCAGACCAGCTTTGAAGGAATAAAGAGTACAGTTCCAGCCAACCATCTTCTAATACAAAGTAACATTAAATATATATATATATGTATTTATTTAGCAACTACAGTGTCAGGTCTCGCATCATTTGCTAAGACTGAAAATTCAATCAAATACTTTAAATTGTCAAAAATCCCCCAGTTACAGGAGGTTCTTGTTCACCTCCTAGGTGGGAGTCATGATTCTTTTCTCTTACACAAATTTAGACAACTGTGTTCTCTCTTCAGCCTCCTGGCCATCTGTAGAGATGAGGAGGTGTGTACAGATGTGGGCTCAGAGCAGAACAAGCTACTTGTCTGAGCTCATATTTTTGGCAGTCACCAATTTCACCCTCACCCACCAGAAGCGGAGAAGTTACCAGCTTTGTCTCTCCCCCTACTTTCCCAGTATTTGCCTTTCTTTCTGGCTTTTCTAGAACACTTGTCACCATATTTACCAGAGTACATTTATTACCAGTTTCAAAATAACAGTTTTTGTAACAGAGAAAAGCATTTCAGGCCTTTATAGGTGAAAAATCAGAAAGAAATGGAATTTCGGGGTAAATCAGTGGCAGAATCTGAAGAGAGGCCAAATGCTCCCCTAATCAATACTTTCAGTTTAATCACTAGACCTTTTCCACTGGATCACAGTGTTACCCTGTGCCTGGTATTGAAGACATTACCCACTGGGCTTTTTACTAGTTTCCAGTTTTAGAAGGAATGCTCACAATTATTCCGGGCTTGACTGTGACATAACATCCCCAGTTGCCATGCATAAACGCTGCATTTGAAGCCCAGTGATACACTCTTTAAGGTCATCCAAATGGCACAGCTGATTAATTTAAAGAAACAAATTAAGTCTCAGTATGACTTAAGACTTGGACAGTGTGACCGGGTAACCAAAGAAGTCCTAATCTATTTGTTAAATCCAATTATCTAGACATCAAATCAAGAGATCATGAAACATTAGGACACTGAATAGCTGCTTATCAAATACTTTGAGCTCTCTGAAAAGATGACAGTCACTAAGAATCTATGACATGGAAAAGGTGTTCTTCAAAGCAGAGATGGAGAGAAATCAGTTCTTGGGCATTTATGTTTTGCTCTCATCTTCTGTTGAGTTAAACCAGCTATCAGAGTAAAGGGAAAGAGATTAGGATTGGCAGTGGAACAGGAGAAATCCAATCTAAGTCTCTATACTGTATGCATTTACAAAATAATTCCAGCAGATACCCAGCTCCAAATAGGTTCCCGGGTAGGATTTCTGTCTAGGCTACCTACGGGGGGAGGAACTCCAGTTCTCAGTGTACTTATTGTTCAGGAAAGGAACTACAGAAGCCAAGAACTGAAGCTTTTCTTTCTCTTTGTTTCAGGGTGAGGAGTTATAACTAACTAATGAGCACATTAAGAGAAAAGACCCCTACCTAGGCACAACTTTCATGTCTCTATATAAACAGAAACAAAGAACAAAATTAGGCAGTCAGATTCAGGAATCCATCTCTACAATAAAGTACAATCCAACTTGAAATTTCTTACTAATCTACTCTAAAGTCAGTCCAGGCTTGGCTCTGGGGTGCACAACTACCACAGTATGTGATACTACGGGGCTAAGCACTTCCCAGATTTTTATGGGTACCTTCCAAGGCTCTATTTTCTCTACAAACACTTCATAGTCTTCCGTATCGTTCTCTACAGGCCTTCGTTTCACCTATCTTACTTGGAGCAATATGCTCCCTACTTGTCCCATCATACTACAGCCCCCAGCTTTCCAGTGGCTGTATGTATTCTCCAGTACTTCACTCCCCAACGTCACACCTAGAGCTGTACATCTACAGCTGCCCCTTCCATTAAAGCAAAATACTCAAAAATTGTTGTATTATACATACAGAAATTAAGCAAAGTAGATCAGGGGAAAAGTACTAAGCACACAGAGGGCCAGAGAGCACCCCGTAACCACAGAAAAAGAACAGGTTTCCATATGCAAAGAGCTGCCCCTTCAGCATAGAAATATAAAAAAATCAGAATAAATGACTAATTTTTCTTCTTGTCTTCACACAGGAGAACTGATGTCCTCACCCAGATGCAGCATCAGCCACACACCTATCAGAACATCTCCCAGCATAGCTGGAAAAACCAGCCATGCTGGCTGTGCTTACTGCTACTACCACTCCCCACCAGCTCCGAGCTACACCAGGGCACCACAATCAGGCTTGGATAAGGTAATTACCACCACATAAACAGCTGCTATTTAAATCCAACTCCAAAATCCACTAAATATCAGTGGATCTGAAAGTGCTGACTAACAACAGGTTATTTGTTTCTATGGTTAACAAAAGCATCCACAACCCAATCCCATTCAACTTATCTCCAGCAGGTTACACCACTGGACCCTTTATGATCATGCTACATACTGTAACAGAAGCACAGCACAAGCTTCGCTCTTGCCAGCTGCCTCCCACAGGACAGAGAACTCAAATGCCCTTTTTTTAATACAACCTGTAATTTGTTTTTTAAATGCTCTGATTTGTACAGGCTTAACTGTAGGCTTTAACCCAGACTCCAGGTGATATGTCTACTACAGCCACTCCGTGTTCTGCTAAGCAGGCGGTAAAAAGACCATTTAACTTTGATACCTTCTTTATCCAGGTGTACCACTAGTAATTTTAAGGTCACCACCTATTTCAGCAATAGCAACTAAATTCAGCTGAGTGCAGCATGTGGCTTGTTTCCAACTGAATTTTGTGCCCTGTTTTTACATAGCAAATAGGAGAACATTCAAGAGAGAAAGCATGTTTATGGAAAGGGTTAAACAGGATCTCACTAACAAGGCTTTGGCTGCTACGCCATTAACAACAAACAAAGCCACCCAATACCTTGCAACAAGTAATGATTTTCTTATGCCTCCCCTCCAATATTAACCATGACTTATCACAATACACTGTTACAGAACCCTTTAAAATCTAGAATAAAAAAAAGGTCTATCAATTTCACAGTATCATTGACACTAGGATAAACTGTTTTGTGGCAAAATCTTCCTGGAGGAAATCAGCAGTACTGCATGCCCAGAAAGATGGTGCTCTCAAGCCTTGAGTCTCCTCAGCCTCTACCGTGGCTGTTTTGCCAAAGCTCATTGCTGAAAACACACAACACTTGTTCCAAACCACCTTCAAAGAGCTCATGTGCCTGGGCTTCACCCACACCTGCAGCCTGCTGGTGCTTCTCCAGGAAGGCAGGAACTGCCAGCTGAGAACTAGGATAGGGGCAGATTTTGTTCAGGGTCATAATCAGTCGAATACCCACCTGTAACATCATACCTGTAATACTAAAAATGCTTTAGGGCTCCATTCTTAAATCATTCTGCTAGCACTCGAATTTGCAATATTACAAGTCAAACAAGAAATGGGTTTAGTGAAAGTGCCTCCCCTCCCAAGAATCAGAGGAAATAGCAAAGTGAAGGCCTCTAAAACCAAGATGTTCTTTTCTGCTCCTACTAAGGGACAATTTCTAAAATGCAGCATCCCTTTCTCAACACTGAGTTCATTTACTGTCAAGCCAAATGACAAGTTCTGCTTCAATCATCATCTCACTTCAGCACTAACCACATCAAAGTTTAAGGTCTGAAAATGTTAATCGGTTCTGTTGTCCAAGATTTCTTCAAGTTCTGGGGTATCTCATGGTTACCTACTAGTAAGAGAGCTTCTCCCAGCCAATATTCAAACATTTAATTTTTCAATAAAGTCAATTTAGAGTAAATGCACAAAACCAACAAGCAGCAGCACAATTTAATTTGCTGTGATAGCCAGACACACCCTGATCTTACTTTATTTTTAAGCATGCAATTAAGAGTAATTTAATTCCCTTACGTAGACATTACATGAAAGAGAAACATTATTGTTAGAAGGGCTTTAGTGCTGTTGGTACACAAACCTTAGGACAGATAAATTAGGCCCTAGTAAAACAGCATGTAATTTACATTTTGTTAAGTCAATCACAAGTAGCATCTTGAGGCTCTTAAATAGTGTGCCAAACCACAACATAAGAGAACTAATGCAAAGCAACCCATGTAGTAGGATCACTTGAGTTCCCACAATCCAAGAGATCCCCTAAAATGAGTTTGCAGTTGGATTTCACAGGATTATTCCTCTTTCACATCATAGAATCATAGAAGGGACCTTAAAGCTCATCCAGTTCCAACCCCCTGCCATGGGCAGGGACACCTTCCACTAGAGCGGGTTGCTCCAAGCCCCTGTGTCCAACCTGGCCTTGAACCCTGCCAAGGATGGGGCAGCCACAGCTTCTCTGGGCACCCTGTGCCAGCGCCTCAGCACCCTCATAGAAAGAATCCATTTGCACCTTTAATTTATCAGCATGTTATGAAAATATTTTACTCCAAAAGCTATAAAATTTTGCATAGTTACAGAAAAATCAATGAATTAAAACAAGGACACAGGGTTTATAATCTATGGCCTCCATTACTTGAGAAGCCCATCAGCAAAGGGGCAGGGGCTCAGTAATACAGCAGCCCCACACAGCTGCATGGAAAATCCACACAGTGCATTAGTCCCAGCATTCCTGGTTTTAGCAGCAGAGAAAGAGTGAGAGAGGAGCCCAGTACCATGCTTCACATACCTTTTGGTAACAGCAGAACTGATGACATACCCTGGATCTTTTCTAACACTTCTCCTATACCCAGCACCTTGTCCACATTCCGATACCACACAGGGAATTAACAGAAAGGTCAGTATATGCACTGAGGAGCAAAAGTATGAAGACAACAGACCAGCATGGAACAGGGTCCAAGAATTCTCTGTCCTCTTCCAACCCATGGTGAGAAGGACCAGAAACAGGAGCTAATTCAGCTACAAAATAAAGCCCAGAAAGCCAAAGCACAAGAAGTTGATGCTTACCCACCCGTACCATTCCTAAGACCCCTCTGCATGTTTTTTTTTTCTCAAAAGGACACGAATTAAGGTTTTCAGCAAAGCTAACTAGAAACACTATCCCTCTGTGAGCTGACACAGTGTATGTGCCACTGCTTTCTGTCATCATTGCTCAGTGAAAGGCTTGCACATAAGAAGGAAAAACTACACAAGTGCCAAGAAATGCAGCAGCACAACTGAAAAAATATTGTCTCTGGGCTTGTAGCTTGTATCAATTATCACTTTTAATACAAAATATGAGCTCAAGGCTTCTGTTCCCCTAAATAAGAAGTACAAAGTTTCTGTTTCTCAAATCATGCTGCAAGGACAACCAATGTATTCAAACTGGGATTTCTACAGATGTGTTTGAGACTTGTATTTTTTTGCTATTTGAATCTGTAACCGGTTTTCGTGCTGCTTTAAACAGGAATTTTCCTTTTGATTTCAGCACTGCAGCCTATACAGCAGCAAAGCCATCTTTACTTGCCAATAGTGTTCAGTTTATAGCAAATCCAGGACACCACATCAGCCAAGTGCTCCTCGTGGATATGTTGTCAGAACAGAAAAGTCTTCCCTCCCCCAACCTTGATACAAAGTGAGCTACACAAATCAAAATGCTGTGCTGAAGTCCTCCGTTGGCATTTCCAGATGTACCACGAATCCTAATTCGCCAAGAACTGAAACTGAGACTGGTGAGGTGCAGATCAGACCTCTGCATTCTTACTCAGATGACTGACACATTCCCAGGTACCTTCCTCTCAACCGCCCCAGTGCTCTTCCCAGCCCAGGCTGTAGAAACACACAAACTGCCACCTTTTTTTAACTCTTTCATATTGGTCACTTCTAGGTGTACGTACATCACCACAACCCAGAGCAGGGCTCTGCAAACCTCTTGTGTGTTTTAACAGACACTTCAACAAACATGCTCACAGTGGCTTTTTACACACTCAAAAGCTTGTTAACCAGCCAGGCATTTCCCTCTCTCCTCTTTCCAGCCGTGGATGTGCTCTCCAAAGAGCTCTATTTACATGCCAAGTTACAAAGTTCAACTGCTTCCAAAGCAACGTGGAAAAAAGCGCAGCTTTCACCATTCTACAGTGAGGTTTTTCACAATGTGAAGTGACTTGGATTCCTTTTCCTTAATTTCCAAACAGGATTTCACAGTTCAAACAGGAAAAAAAAATAGTATCTCAGTCCACCCACAGGCCTTTGATGAACACTCACTGAGGGGCTTCAAAAGGAGAGAGCTCTGCAACCTTAAGCATCATGTTACCCATGGAAAAAAAACTGCTTTCAAGTCAGAAACAAGGGTCACCAAAATCTGCACATCCACCAGAGTTTAAACTACTTCTCATGCTTACTCTTTCTTCTCATTTGTGTCCGAACCATTCATTTTGTATGAAATCAACTGTGTTTGAAATTCCTTCTTCCAGGACAAACAATGAGGCTGGGTTTGGTCACTTCTTCAGCAACATTCACAGCAGGTCGCAGCTGGGGCTCTCCCCAGCTCTCCACACACAAGTGTTTCTAGAGAGAAATTAAGTCCTAGATTTCTACCTTGCATTTAGCCTGTCAACTACTTGGAGCAAGAACCGGCACCTCATCAGAACCTTTTTTTGTGGAGAGCCAACAATATTATCAGCAGTTCAGTAATAATGATCAATTTGGATGAACAGCCTTTGCAAATAAACCCCCTTTATAAAAACAGGAGTAGGAGAATTAGCAAGGACTAAGGATTCTACTAGAAATGCCAAAGCAGCACCAGACTCGCACTGTCAATGTCAGCATTCTGAGAAACAGAAAACATTAAACCTCAACTATCAGCAATCCTTACCCACTCTTTTCCCCATCCTCTCCCTCCATTCTATATCATCATGAAGCAGAGGAAAAAGATTGGAAAATTCCAGGGAGAAGAAAATGACACATGCCAAGAACTTCCAGAGGCAAGTCCAACTTCCTAAAAATGACCAGGAATTCAGCAGAAGCTACAGCCAGCTGCCATCTGCTGACACAGATTTCTTCTTCCTCCCTACACTGGCAGGAAATGACTACAACCCAGCTTTTACAAATGTTGGATGGCCCATCTAGGAGATGGAACATTGAAATTCTTGGAAAACACTTTTGCTTTTCAGAGACCATGAGAGATGACCTTGTGCAAACAAAGGAATACAGCAATACAACCTCTATAGAGACACTTTCCAGCCTTCCTCCTTTCCTGGTCCAAAAGCTTAGTTTTCAAGGCCTCCCCTCAAGTACAGACAGCACCATTCCATCCTCTTTCCTTCCTTCCTGCAAACATCAGGCTCTC